ACGATATACTATAATTTGATAATGATTTAAAAGAGACTGTAATTTTCCAATTTAATAGTAGGAAATTTCTTATAGTATTAAAGCAATTTACTGATACTAATAGTTTAATATTAGTAAATTGCTGTATAAATATTTTATATCAGATTTAGATTAAAGCAATTGATATGCGCTAACTATTCATTGTTTTGATAAAATTTTTACTTTTTATTTATTTTATTTATGTTTTTATATATTTTTATATTTTTAAAAAATATTAAATTCAATACCTAGGAAAAAGGTGAACTATTATTTATTTTTTATTTTGCTCTAATTTATTTTTTTGCATATAAACAATATGTTATTTACAATTATGATTAATATATTAATGTAAGTAATATACTGTATATACTACTACTACTACTCTAGAAATGTTAGAAATTTTTATAACATAATTAGATCACGACTAGAATAACCAAATTAAACATTTCTAATATTGATTTATTTTACATGAATATTGCATTGCATTGAATTTATATTTATAATTAAATTAATATAAATATATATTTATTTATAAAACTTTTTTTATATATATATATATATACATATAAATATAATTGTTTAAATATTTAGACAAAATTATAATTATAATTTTTTAGACAGTATTTTAAATTATAAATGCAACAAACAATTAGTATATTTATTTTTAAAACATTTATATAAAATCAATAATTTTATTTGGCCTCCATATTACCATCATTAATTTATTATTGTTTAACATTTGTAAACAATAATAATGATATATTAATATTAATATTAATAATATGATATAAAAATTTATATGAAGTTATATTTGAACATTTTTTCTAATGTGACATTATTTTGTTTAAACAATAACCATTGGATTATAGCATTGGAAAAGCAAAAATAAAATAAAGTAAAAAATAAAAATAAAACAATATATTCAATAGATATATTGTACATGTATTATATTATTATTATTATTAAATAATTTTTTTTGTTATTTTTATAATAATAAAGTTTGTCCCAATTAGATTTCTTTTATAATTATTCACTTAATTTACCTAATTTATATAATTTTTTAAATATACATATAATACATTATTATTATTATTATTAAATGATGCATATCATTAATCATTATCATCATTAAGTATAAACATGTTCATAAACTTTATTATTATATTATCAATAATAGTAATAATATTATTATTAATATTTTATTATTATTATCAACCTATTATTATTATTATATAACATATTATGTATTATACTGTTTATATTTAATGAACTTTTGCATTAATATAATAATAAACAAAATTTTGGGGGATATATAATATATTTAATATTCACAAAATTACATAAAAAATAATAAATTACTTTAATAATAGTAAATTACAAATAAAAATATCAAAATATTTACTTAAATTAGAGTGTATTTTCTTGTTTGTTGTTATTTTTATTTATTTTTTTCTGATAATAATCATACCATACATATATTTTTTATGTAATATGAGATACTGTAGTAATACCAGTAAATAAATGACTTAAATTAATATAAAAATATAAAATATAACATTTATGGGACCAAAAAACAACAAAAATATGGTTATCTAATCCATAAAAAAATATTCATTATATATATTATATAATATTTTTAGTAAAAAAATTACCAGTAATTTAGACTACAAATTATCAAACATTTAAAAAAAATTATTTTCATAAATGRTTGTTACAAATAATAATAATAATACAGTAATAAATTTGTCATTTTAAAAATATATATACTATTAATAACATAATGTACAATTTTTTTAAAAAATGAGTTAATATTTTAAGCAACAAAATATGTTAATGGGATTTTGGTGTATTTTTTGTAGTGATATAATACAAAATAGATTAAATAATATTATAAATAATGTTTTTTATGTATATTTGCAATACAAACTACAAAAATCATTGTTATAAATATTCACAGTATATGTGATCAGTGAACCATATATTTATATTTACTAATATATATATACTGTATAATGAAATTTGACTTATATATGACTTTCAAAAAAATACTTTTACTACTAATAATGAAAAAAAATGTTACGATTGAAGTGTTTTCACAAAAATATCATTTTATTTTTTTTTGTTAAACAATACCTGTGTTTAATATGTCAATACATATGTATAGTATTCAGTAGTATTGTTGCACAGGTATGCATAACCATTGTATTGTTGTGTAAATGTCATACAAACCTTATTATTTAAAGTGTCGGTATGCATAATACCTTCATCTAACTTTACCTATCAGTCAGCTATTAGGTGCACAAAACATAATAGATTTTTGTATTAAATGGGTTTAAATAAATTGACTACCGGTGCTCTTGAATTGGCGCACACCTATCATTAGGTGAATAATTTAGACCACAATTTCATAATATTTTACTTATATATATAAAAAATTGTTAAGCCTATGACATGATATAAACTCAAAAATTTAGCTTTAAGTTTAATATGTAAAAATTATTTATTTAAAAAAAAAGTTTWATATAACTATTGGTAGTCATAATAATCGAAATTTGTTTTTGCAATACTCTAGTAGTAGACATAAATACATAGATAAATAAGTAGTTGAATAGTCATTATTATTATGTGAGTGTATTTTTTCTGGTAGCTAATGGCTTATTATACTGTGGTTGTACTGGTTATATGACTCATACATTAGTTTTTTATGTGTTGTTGTCTTTTTTTTTTGAAGACACCTGTCTGTCCATTTGAGTAATGGCTCAGTGAGATAGAGATGTGCTTTCAAGGAATGTATGTATGACTATCACTAGCACTGGCCTATTATGCTATTATGTCTGAAAGTCATGAATAAGACTCTTAAGAAATTGTAGTAATTATATGTAATTATGGTTTTTATTATTTTTTTTATTGAGGACTCTCTCTCTCTCTCTCTCTCTCTCTCTCTCTCTCTCATTCATTCATCCATTCAATTATTCATTCATACATTCAAACAATAAAGCAATCAATTAAATAGGCAATACTAAGTGTGATGTCTATACTGTATAATAATAATAATATTTTATGATTATTATTTTCAATATAATTATTAATTCTTTATAGTCTTTTAATTAAATAATTTTTTTATAATTTACTATAAAAGTATAAATATTAATTTATATATTTTTAGTTAATTTATTTCTAGATTTATTTATGAAGTTTTTAAATAAAATATTTTTAATTACCATAACTATTATTATTATTATTATATTAATATTATTACTATTATTTTATGCCAATTTTAGATTTTTATTAATACAGTATAAACATGTTTTCAACTTTTTATTTTATTATTTAAAAAAGATAAATAAATAATCAACAATAATTATGATGTAATTATAAATTTGAATAGTTTTTTTGTTAGAAAAAATAAATATTTATATTATTTATTTTATAATCCTTAATGAATAGCTTCATAAATAACTATTCATTTTATTTATTTCATAATTAAATAATATACTTATATAGTAGTAAATAGACAGTCAGTAAATAATAATAATAATAATTATATACAATGTATAGCATTATTCAATTGTTATACAAAAATAATATTCAATAAATAAAAGAAAAAAAATCATGACTTTATAAGACATATATTTATATAAATACTATATTTATAGTAAACATAAAGTTTTTTTTATTATTATTATAAAAAGGTTGGCAGAGATTGACATTTAAAACAAAGCGTTAATAATCTTTTAATAACAACACAAATAATTTGTGAGTTATATCCTTGAATTTGTGTGAATATAATGTATTATTATAGTAATTATAGTTTTTATTATTATTTAAATAATAATAATAATAAATATGAAACAAAACAACAAAAAATTATGCAAAATAAAAAAAAAAGATTATAAGTTTTGTGAGTTATTTTTTGTTTTGTTTTTTATTTCAATATTTCAAATAAGTAAATGTCATTGAATTTTTTCGGTCTTAATTATTATAAATTTTTGTTGTTGTTATCATTATTTGTTAGAAATTAAAAATTTTCTGAAAAAAAGTAAAACAAAATATTTTTAACTCCTATTTTTTATTTTGATAAAAATTTATTTAACTTATATTAGCATTGAATACCTGTTGATAACAAATAATGGGGGTTTTCATTCAAAAAAATTTTAGTTTTAATATTATATAAATGTTATTGAATAATGTTATAATATGTTAATACATAATTTATTTTGGTAATACAAATTTTCATAATTTAATAATAATAATAATACTTTATTTATAAAATATTAGATCAATTGTGTGATTGTCTATTTCGTAACAAAAATCTAAACCATTGTGTTTTTATATACATACAAAAAAATAAAATATATGATAAATTTTTTAAATTGACATATGATCTATCAATGATTATTTATGAATACTATATTAATAATATATTATATTGTAATATAAATACATTTATTATAATGTTTCGTAATTTAATATTGAATAGAAAACTATTATAATATTAATATACTGTATATTAATATATATTTTTACTGATTGTTATCATTATTATACTAATAATTTATTTTTCAAAAAAAATGTTATTTAAATAAACATTTCGACACAATATTTGTTAATACCAATTGATTATTGATTTAAATACAAAATGTGTGTTTTAATATTTTTTATATATTGAATATAATAATTTATTATACTAATGAATAAAARTTAATATTATATTAAAAATAAATAAATGATAAATGATTTTCATAGAAACAAAATTATATATTTAATTTAATTTATTTTTTTCTTATTTTTGTTTAGTACATCAACAAATTAAATATCACAAAAATAAATAATAATAATAATTAATTAAAAAAATGTGTTATAATAAAACAATTGTCACCTAAATATATCACAAGTTGATTGAGAAAAAAAATAATAATAAGATGTGCTAGTTTAAATTTTCAATAATAATAATTAATAATAAATAAATATCTGAAAAAAATTTGCTTAAATCATGGGCTTTCCTAATAACGAGTCGGATAGTGATTCATCAAATAACAACACGACAAGTGAATCGGTAGCTAATAATAATAACCGGGTGTTTGTCAACTCATGTCATGTGGACTCTTCTAATCGACACAACACTAGTCGACATACCGGTGCCGCCAATGACCTGAATACAGATATGGGTATGACATTCGTGTGATATTTTTTTTATAAATATTATTATTATATTATAAATTAAATTATTGTTTTACTATTGAATTTTCATTAGTTTAATATTATTTATTGATTTGTTAACAATATTAGTCACGAAATGTATTATATATAAAAAACTAATTTTGAATTTTTAAATAAACTTAATTAAAATACTTATTAAATAAATATTTTTTATGATATCTTAGAAATAGAAATATAGTGTAAATAGTCAAACAATTGAGTTTTTTTAAAAAAAGTTAGTTATTATAAGTAGAGATGGGCAAATAGAAAGTTTCTAATAAATTTCCCTGAGAAAGTTTCTAGAAAATTTCTCATGAATAAATTTCTATAGAAATTTAACTTTATTGTTGTACTATGGGATCACCATATCTATAGTTATTGGAAATACTATAAATATATTAATGAGACATAATATTGTACAAATGGGATACCTATATAAATAAGTATAATTATCTAATAATAATCAGTTTTGTAAAATTTTATTCATCATTTTACTGTATTATATTATAGACTATAATATAATAAAATGATGAATAAAATTTTACAAAACTATAATTTATAGTTAAATATAATTAAATAAATTAATTTTTACTTTAATTAATAATTTAAATACTAATAATAATATTTAATTATTACTTGTAATAAGAATGTTACAAGATAAAATATATTGAAATAACAAAATTAACATGGGGATCCCATAGATAGAAATTTCTTTTAGAAACTTTCTAGAAATTTCTCTATTATTTTATAAATTTCTCTTTTTTGCCAACACTAATTATAAGTGATATCATTAAATACAGTAAAATTATAACATCTGAATAATACATACATTTTATAAGTTTAATTATATTTGTAAGTATTTAATAATAAGTAAATTATGAATAATTTTAATAATAAATTTGTTTTTTATAACATATATAATAAAACTTTTCTCTATTATATCATTAAAAATTGTTGTGAAATTAAAAGTTATTTTTGTCTATTAAATAGTAATAATAATAATAAAACATTTTGTTGTTGTTGTTATTTTTGGTGTAAAATATAATTTCTCATTTAGTCAACACCTTGTTATTTAAATTATTTGTTGAAAATATTTATTAATGATATATATGAAAAAAATTATAATAAAATTATTATTAATCATTATTAGTATAGTTTTTGCAAATGAGTCAGCTAAGCAATATGTATGTACAGTATTTAATGATAAATAAAAAATCACAAAAAGTAATGCAATACTATTGCTTTAATATGTTATTTATGCAAATATATGTATAATATTTTTTGCGCAACCAATTAGTTACTTATACATACAATTATTTAAGTAGTATAAGATTTTTTTTATAAATCATATGATTTTGTATATATATATATATAAATGTTTGAAATTATATATTAGTGTTGAATATTTAAATAATGCCAAAAAACCGATATGTAATCAGTCATTATTATTATTATGAAATGATATTAACTTTTAAGTGATTTATTCATTTATTTATTTATTTGTTGTCATAATTCTATAATAAATTATGATTATTATTAATTATGATAATTTTCATTAATTTTTTGTTTGTTTGCAATAACTTAGTGCAATAAATGATATATACTTATATATATGTTTAATATATTCAAGTATTACATTATTGAAAGTTAATTAATAATTAGTCAGTGTTTGCAATGATCTCATCCCCTGATTTTTATCTTATGATTGACTATTGATTGTACAGTATATACCAGTGCCTAACCTAATCCCGTAACCAGTAATTTTATGTACAGTATATGAGATAGCAATCAATAATTTAATTATTGATGAGTATATCAGCCAAAGATCAAAACAACAAATTGATTGAAGTAAAAATATATATACAGTATATATATATAAACAACTATTTTTTTGACTTCCTTTTGAAGTTAATATAATATTACAGTTAATTTTTTAATAGATAATAAAAATAAATAACTGATAACAAGTTTTTTTWGTTGGTTAATTGTGGGGTTAACCCATAGTAGTGGTAGTAGTTTGCTCTGGGATTTAATAGACTGTTTAGTTGTGTGATGGTCTCTCTCTCTCTCTCTCTCTCTCTCTCTCTCTCTCTCTCTCTCGTGTTTTAGGGTAAGACCATATCATTGCACTGGGCTATGGGTTTTCATGATTTATACAGTAGTTTCTTATATTGAATATAGATATATACCATATATTAATGCCTTTCAAAAATCTTATAAACACTACCAACAAAAAATCATGAAGTGATGGATCAAAAAGTGGATGCAAATCAAGTTTTTTGTGTGTTTAATACCGGGAGATAAAAGCGGATATACATTAACTGGTGTGTGTGTGTGTGTGCTGTATATACTTGTGTAYACTTAAGCACCAGTGGTTGGTTGGTTGAGATCAACTAGTTTTTTGAGCCCTTAATAGTTGGAGAAAAAATCATAAAAATTTTTAGTATAATCTAAGTTATTATAATATTATATCAATATATATATATATATATATATATATATATATATATAATTTATATATACAGTACAGGTATATACAGATTACTTAAGTTATAGAGGGTTTTAAAGCTCAGGCTATTAGTGGATCTCCATTCATGAGTTTATACCACAATTTGTTTTTAGTTTTTTTGTGTTGATTTTTCTCTGAGATTATATTTGTTTGGAAAAAGAGAAAAAAAACTATTTGTATTTATATTTTGAAAAACCGATAAAATTCAAGCATAAAATTTAGTTTATTTTTGTATTCAATATATAAATGTATAATATATTTATAAATATATATATATAACATATTATATATAAGTTATATTTTATGTGTTGAAGTCCATAAGCTGATAATAAGTACAATTTTATTATAATAATACTAATATTGTAATAATAACACAACAAACAACACAATCAAAAGTCGTGCAAAAGTTATACATATATATATATAATATTGTGTTTTCTTCTCCTAAACCATTAAAATATATATTCAACAACAAAAAAGTCATGTTTTTTCTCTCTACGACTACTAAAATAATAATAATAATACCAATAATAATAATACCAATAATAATAATACCAATATGTTTATTAAACAACTAATGCTAAAACTAACTAAACAATTGTTGTTTTCCTCCTCTTCTTCCTCCTCTACATCCCTAACCCAACAACCATTAGATCCCATCAATGGTGACAGAGATCCGGCTGTTGCGGATGACACAGGGGTTAGTGGTGGCGGCGGCGGTGGTGGTGTCGGTAGCCGTCATCAGCACCCGCCTGGTCTACTACGACATCACAACAATAGCGACCTAAACGACCAGCACATTGTTCACTTGCAAATGAGAGACACCCTATCGGCTGCTGATGTCCGCCGTACGGTCCGCGGTCTGTGGCCAGTGGACAGCGCATCGTTTTTTGCCACATTTTTTTGTTGTATAAACTTTTATACAATTAGCCGTTTTTCGGTACTCACCTATTATTTTAAAGGTTAGTTAATATGTTTTTAAAAAAAATAAATATACGGTATTTCCCTATTTTAAAAAATATATATTTAATTTAAATTCATTTTCTAAAAAGCTTTTATTGTTTTGTTAGTTTTATTATTATTATTAAAGTAATTATTTTTATAATTTACTCGCTTTTCATAATATTATAATTGCATTGAATTTATTTTTTGTTGTAAAATATTTTAACTGTAAGTTATTTATTGTATTATTATTTATTATTTAGTTTTTTTTGAGGGATTACCCTAAAAAACATGTAGTTTTGCTATCTCAATGATCTCATATATTGTTTATTATAATATATTATATACAGTATATGTATATTATCTGTATTTCCGACCCTTTTATTTCTAGAAAATAAAATATGATAAATAATATTATTATTACATACAGTATGATGAATGAATTGCATAGTTATTATCTTATATAATATATATGTTTTTTAGTTTTATTTCTTTAATTGAAAAAAATATTAAGGTTAAGGAAGTCCTAATTTATCAATACGACTGTCCCCTCGAATAGTTAGATAAATTGCCAGTTGCATTGATAATTGTCTGGCAATGGATATTATGAATAAAATATGAACACAAAAAAAATATTATTATTGATTTGCAGTTTATATCTTAGATTTTATGGATAAGTTATGTCAGAATTACAATTATAATTAATTATTAATATTTATGTTGTTTTTTGTGTGTTTTGTACAATAGTAGTGACTTTTATTGAAATATTTAATAATCACAATTTGTAGTTATTTTGTTAATAAATGCACATTATTTAAATTATTATTGTTATATTAAGTAAAAGTATAATTTAGTATTATATTTATTTATTAATAAATCAAATTAATTTTTCTTATATTATGATCTATTGTGTGAAAGATTTTTTTTTGGTTTAATGTTATCAACAAAATATTATTTATAATTTGATTGATTGCATTAAATTTGGTTAAAATATTTTACAATAAATAACAAGTTTTTCCTATTATTATTATAGTATATAACAAATAATATAAAATTATTTACTTAGTTTTGTTACAAAAAATATATATAAATAATGATAATTATCAACAGTATATAACATATATTGTTTAGTATTAATTTTAAACAGTAAACTAAATTAACAAAATAATTATAATAATTATATTAATATACAGTTAATTATTATTATTATTATTATTAAATTTATCGCTTATCGTAATCTATCATAATTTTTGTGCTCCAAAAATATGTTAAATAATATAATCAATGAAAATAATGGGTAAGAGTAGGAAAAGTAGTTTTTTTTTTTTTAGATAAAAACAATTTTCAAAAGTTATAAAAAATTAAGTATTTTTGGTTTATTATTATTGTATTTAATAACAATACAATGATTTTCCTCTAAATTTATATATGAGATAAAAATACAACAATAAAAAAATTATTTTAAAATTTTTATTAGATCTCATTTTTTWAAAAATATTTATTTATATACATTGTATTATTAATATTAAATTAATGAAAGTATAAAACTTAATTTTTTTATCATCAATTCATTTAAAACGTATCACAAATTTCGTGATGAAATGTTCAAATTCATTACAACTAATATATATAAAAAATAGTCATTTAAATTATTTATCTATGAATTTAATCAACTATGAAAATAAAATTTAAACTTAATTTAAGTGAAATTTAGTTTAAATAAAAAATAAGTAAATTTTAAACTAACTTTCCTTTCATTATATATTATATAACAATGATTTACTTTTACATTTATAATTGTATTTTTATTGTTGTTGTTGTTGTTATGTGTGATCTCTGTCTTATATACAGTATATATATATATTATAATAGTTTTAAAAACAATTGTTTCAATTCCTACATTAATTTATTTTCAACAACAAAAACTATAATATAAATTATTTTATTTTCTTCAAAAAATGCTATCATAATATCCAATTGTTATATAACATATGTACAGTACATGACATGTATATTAAAATCAAATTTAAGTTACCCATTAAAAAAAGCATAGAAACAATGGATTAGTTTTTTTAGGCTATAATTTATTTGTATTTATAAATTATATTTTATAATCTAATATTAATAACAATATTGTTATAATAATAATAATAATAATAATTCTGATACTGTATATCTTAAGATTTATATTATATTTATTTCTATTAAATGTCATTTTTTTGGGGCTATTTTTAGGTCCATTTGTCATACAATTTCTCATATTAAGCATCGGTTTTGGGCTACCGTTCCTTCTATTGACAATGTCGTTGGGCCAGTATTTAGGGTCCGGCTTTTACGACATGTGGTTCATTAGTCCGGCATTTAAAGGTATAGTGTATATAACTGTTGCCGAAATATTATTGATAGTACACATCGATATTTAATTGAATATGTTTTTCTTTAATGTTTTTTTTAATACAAACTTAAGGTATCGGTGCGGCCTTTCTATTGACATACATGTGCTACGGCCTGTATAGTTCGGTACCCATTGCCTGGCTGTTTGTCTATTTTCGTGATGCCTTTATGGCCACCAGCGATTCGGCCTACAAGTGGTCATATTGTAATACTAGGATTGCCACAAACAGTAAGTTTTTTTGTTGTTGTTTTGTTTATTTTATTTATGAATTAATTCATTAAATTTAAAAAAATACTATTGCGATATAATTGTTATTTTTAAATGATAATTAGGGGACAAATAATTATTTTTAATACAACTGTTATTATTATTTATTGCTTTTACTGTTTTATAGCTTATCATTAAATATAATTACATTAAATGTTTTTATTATTATTATTATTACTTTATTACTGATAATTAACTATCATATTATATATAGTTATTGAGTGTTTGTTTCAAATAATAATAATAATAATATATTTATTTATTTTACTAAAATTTTTATTATTTAATTAGATATTAAATTTTATTGTTTATGTTTATTTTGTGTGTGTGATGTGATGTGATGATGATCTGATGGTAAGGTATAGTCAAACACCTGTCCCCTCTCATGGCTACACACGATATCATTAATGAAATAAAACATAATAATAATAATGAAATAAATATAGAAATATATATATAGTATTGATAATAGCAGCTTACACTATATATAAAGACATTACTGCAATTAATAAATATATTTTTATAAAAGAAATAAAAAATAATTTTTAATTTTAATATTAAAAAGATTAGTTAAGTTTGAATCTATTGTTAGTTTTATCTCACATACAGTATTTAATATAATGTATTTAAATTGCTATAGTAGTAGTAGTAGTAGTAGTAGTAGTAGTAGTGATTTAAATATGATTTACACAAACATAAACACATAGGAAATATACATTAACTATACATAAATTATATGATAGATATATACAGGCATATAAAACATATATTAATAAATTGTATGATAATATAGTAATACTAATAATAGTAAATTTAAATTAGTTTGAATGTGAAAAATATATATTTAGATTTAGTATTTTTCTCAAGATTTAAACTAATGTTAACTTATAATTAAAGTAGAAAAAACATAAAAATATAAACAGTTAAGAATTTTGTTGTATAAATAGTTTACTAATAAAAAATGTAAATTATATATTTAGGATTATATTATTAATATAAACTAAAAAAATAATATTCAAAAACTTATTGTATATAATATTATTGTTATAACTACAGTATTACTACTGTATTATTAATATAGTGTAAAAAATGTTTGTTTGACAATTAATTTAAATAAATAGCAAAATAATTGTGTGTTTTTCAAATTTGTGTATTTCCTTAATCGGCATTTCCCTAATTATTGTGATTATTATTATTATTATAACTACTACTACTACTACTGTATTAAAGATTATTGTTTATAAAAATATATTTTATTTAAAATCTGACAAATGATTATATTGTTTGTATTAAAATATTTATATGTTTATTAAACAAAAATATTGTAATAATAATATATTTGTTTGTTTGCAACAAACCAATGAATTATAATTTTCCATATAAAGTGTTAATACAATAAAATAATTTTTACAATATTTTAATAATAATAATAATAAATTACATTTTAATGATTTTGAGATTTAATGTATTTATAAGTGTAGTGACAATTTTTTTTATAAAAAAGTCATATAATGAAAAATTTACTTTTATTTTTATTTTGAAAAATTTTATTTACTATTTTTATAATTAAAATGTTCTTTTAGTAAAAAATATTAATTACTACTTATTATTATTTTTTCATTATTATTATCATATCTTTTAAAAATAAACCCAAAGTGTGAGAAAATTTTAATATAATTATAATTATTTATTTATAAATAACTCATATTAAATATTCTAATTAAAATTAAAAAATAAAAATTATTAAGTACAGTATAAAATTATTTATAATGCTAAAATAATTATATATATATATAGATAAAATATTCAAAGTTATATACTTGTTAATAAAAACTAAAAAAAACAAAACTTAAATAACACTTTTCAACATGTACATTTTATCTAACTAACTTATATGAGTATATTAAATTAAATATGATAGTAACAATCTCGATAACAAAACAAAATTAAACCACGATGAATTTAAATTAATAAAATAAAATTAACGATATTTGATCACTTGTGAAATAGGCATGATTTGTGATTTTTTAAATTTAAATTTTATATTGTATTGTTGAAAGAAATTTACTTTTCTTTTATTATTATTATTTTATTTCTAAACAAAAATGAAATTGAAATCATATATATATATACACACACACTTATACAGTATATATTATTTATAAATACATTGAACAGGATGTACAGTGTCTATTCAATAGCCTCTATTGTATAATATATTTAGTTTTTTATATTTTACAAATTTCATGTATGCATGCATAGACATGAGGTACAGGTGAGTGTGTGTGTGTGTTGTTAACCGTGATATATGCGCTCAAAACTGGTGGGGAGGCTATGCATAAGCTGACCGCAACAGGCGCTCAGGGATATGCACTCTCTCTCTCTCTCTCTCTCTCACACACACACACACACACACACACACACACACACACACATACATACACTCACAGTCAGGTATCTCTCTATCGGGTAAATCACGAACAACGGGCCATATCTCTCACTAATTTATAATTATAATTTGCATTTTGCTGTTAGTTATTGTTAGTATACTGTATGTGTAAGAAACAAAATAACCACAACATTTATTTCATGTTATTTTTTTTTTGCTCAAAACAATGGGTGTTTTGATTGAATTTTTTTTGTTGGTTTGTTTTTATGGTATTTTTTTGTATCGTTTAAAATTTTGTTGACTGCAAACAAATTGATGATAAATAACAAGGAGTACTAAATAATTGGTTTATACATATTATAGTAGTTAGTCGTATAATGTTATACAGTGCTATACAGTATAATACTATGTATATTGTAATAATATAAATGTAATGTATTTTAGCACCGATGCATTGATGACTTTATATATATAAAAAAAAATAATTTTTATTTAATAAATATAATTTTGATATATTAGGTATAAAAAATTTAATATATTAAAAATTAGACATACAGTATTATATTTGACATTTTAATCATTATCTAACACATTATATTGAATATACCTATAGTATGAAATAAATATTTATTTATTATTTATAAATTGTCTCTCTCTCTCTCTCTCTCTCTCTCTCTCTCTCTCTTTACAAATTGAATATATATATATTGAAATAAATAAACTAGCATATAAATATAAATTATCTATTAAAAATTTATATTTTAATTTATTTAACAAAAATAATAAATGCTTTTAACATTACATAAATATATATATATTTTGTGTATATAAAAGTGATTTTACTTTCATGATTTCTCTATCATTTCAATCACTTAAATAAATGGGAAAATTGGGAGAAAAGAGAGAGAGAGAGAGAGAGAGAGAGAGAGAGAGAGAGAGAGAGAGAGAGAGAGAGAGAGAGAGAGAGAGAGAGAGAGAGAGAGAGAGAGAGAGAGAGAGAGTAGGCATTGACTTTATCTCTCTTATCCTAAGTATGACTGATTAGACATAACGTTATATCCGCTTTTGTATGTAATGTATAATGTATTAAATTTATGAATTATTTGTTATGTTCGCCAATAACTTGTATTACCTTTAAATAAAAAAAATCTATATCTTTCTATAATAAATAAAAAATTATATTATTATTATTATTTGATAACATTCAATAATTAAACACATTATATACTATACTATACTATATTACGCTATTACTGTCTATTTGATATCCAACTGATTGATATATTAATGATAACCATCATTGTTATTGTTATTATTATATTTATTTTCATTATAATACTATTATTATTGTTGTTATTATATTAATATAAAATTTAAGTTTTAAATATAACAAAATTTAATAATCTTTATTAAAAATTCTATTATCTATTAAACATCTAATATATCATTAATCTTATTGTAGATTCAGTTTTTTAAATGTTTAGACTATTGTCTGTACAGTATATTCATAAATATATATATATATATATATAAACTTTCATTTGTTATATGATATCTAAGCCGATATTTAATGGGAGATATGATTATAATGAGAGAGAGAGAGAGTTTAAAAAATAACAAAAAATATTTTTAAAGATCGAGAGAAAACTGAGACATGAAATTCATTGTAAAAACATTTTTTTCATGCATTATATAATACCTGTATATTATAATACAGGTATTATACCTGTAATATCTATCTATAAGCCGGATATACAGTAAAAAATATTTACAATGAATTGAAATTCTTGATAATAATAATAATAATAATATTATATGGAAAAACTAAATTATAAATATAAAAGTTCGTGAAATAATTATAATATTTCATATTATATTATATCCATATATTTATATATTTTGGCGATAAAATTCATGCAAAATAAAGTTCAAACACTTGGTATTATTCAATATACTGTATATACACACAAAAAATCATTTATAAAAACAATGATTTCAATTCTAGTGTATATAGAATTAAGGGTGTGCTTGAAGTGTGGGTATTACACAACATTACTGTCCTATCAACAAAAAAAAAGAGTATATACCGGTGCTAGACATTGACCATTAAATTTTATTTTTAATCATAAAAATAGGGATAAATTGTTTACCTTATATTATAATACAGTATATCATTAACTCTGTATGTGTTTATGAAATAGATATATATAAATGAAAGAATTTTATTATATTTGWATAAAATATAATAATTCAAATATAATTATGAAAAGATAGTATAATAGTAATAATAAATAATAATAAAAACTAAATTGTTTTGTTTTGTTGATATTAAATAAGTTTTTACTATTATTAATAATTTTAATTATCATATGCATTTTTATTATATTATCATTTTTAATTATCTTATCATAAAAATAACAATTAAAGGTGTGATATAAGATACCACTGAATATAATATAAAATGAGATACAAAAATAAATTATTTAGAAAATTGTTGAATATTTTAATTACAAAAAAAATCACACATATATATAAATTTGATATACATATATATATATAATCTAACAAACAATTATTTCAATTTGTTTGCCCACACATATCACACATAAAATATTTAGTATTAACCCTTTTTTTTGAATAATATCATATTTCAAATATTTTGATAAAAATAATAATTTATGTTACAATTTACACGATTATACTATTTTTAAAAAAAAAAATATTTTTAAAATTATTATTATTATTATTAATATAATTAATAGACTGTTTGATGGCCTTAAACTCCACGTCCTATGACTACATCGGTTGGTCCGTCTCTTCCTATTTTCAGTAAGTTTTTTGTGTATAAAAAATATTATATATAAAATTAAGAGATGAAAAAATCCAAATTATTTACTAATAATAATAATAATGGGTATTAAAGTTATTTTTTCAAGAAAAAAACATTAAAAAATTAATCCCAAATAAATTTTTATATGTATATATTTTTTAATGTGGAAAATAATAATTTTTTTGGTGTGAGATAGAAACAAAAATGCCATAAAAATGTATTTATCCTTTAAATATAAGGAAATATTAGTATTTTTTTATTTTTTTATWAGAAATAAAAGGTTAAACACATTTAATACTTTTAGTATTCAAAATTTCTATCCAAGAAAAAGCCTAATTGTAAATAATTATAATAAAGATTTAATGTTTTTTAAGGAGATAAATATAGTAATTATATATTGATTATTATATATATATACTATTAATTATATAATAATAAATAAATTATTGTCTATAAAAAATAAGCATAAATTGGAAATATATATATTTATAAAGTATTTTGTTTTGCAAAATAAATTACAGTAAATTGATAGCTATTTTGTTTTCTAATTATACCTATTTATTAATAATAATGTAATAATTTTTCTAGTATCATATTATAKWWAWTTTAATAAWATTAGTTAATTATTAATAATTAAATAATATTTATAATAAATTTATTGGCCATATGATATGATAATTAATTAAGTTCGTGAAAATATATAATTAGATAATTAAACTAATAATTAATTATTATTATTAATTGCTCACTTATTTATAGTTGGTAATAAATAAATTGTGTTTATTCATTGAGGCATATTGAGATATTAAAAATATAATTTTATATATATAGAGTTTTTTAATTAACATGTTTATAGTAATTAAAAATTTATTTTATTTATAATAATTTTTTTTAGTTGTAAACACTTTAATTAATTAGCTGAAAAAAAACAATAACAATATATATAAATATATATATAATTAAAACAAACATAAATTAACTTTTATATTATAATTTTTCTAATTAATTTAATTATAATWATTTTTATTTTACATTAATTTATGGTTAAAYTAGTGGTCGAGTACTGGATAGAAGTCAAAGGCATCAGACAAAGGAAGTAAAAATCGAACTGTCCTTTCATTTGTGTATCGTTTGGACAGTCATATGTCTGACACTGATTCGCGGCTTTCACTCSACWGGACGGCTATTGATGGTAGCGGCGGTCGTACCGTTAGTACTATACTCTCTGGTCGTACTCCGGTTTGTCGAGCAATGGGGTGACGGTGTTAGCGAAATCTTTCAGACCACTGGTCAGCCGTTTTTGTTGGACTCTATGGTAATAATGCTGTATAATAATAATTATAAGCAAACAGTTAGCATAACATAGACCCCCACCCTTTATCTATTACACGCACCAGTGACTATTGCAGACAAGTTTTTTTTAAAAAGTGATAAATGATTATTAAATGTATTAGAAATTGAGGTTATTTTAAAAATATATTTATAGTAGAAAGGCCTTCAATTATAATTATATACTGTAATATATTTAATACATTAAAAAAAATTGAATACATTAATACAGTTGTCAAACATATAATTTTATGTTTTTAAAAAAGTAACAATTTTTTGGCTAATTTTACTCTCTCTTTCTTTCTCTCTCTCTCTCTCTCTCTCTCTCTCTCTCTCTCTCTCTCTCTCTCTCTCTCTCTATCTCACCCACTCATTCACATTTGTATTAAAATTTACACTTTTTTTTAATAATCTAAATAACAAAAGATATTAATAACAAATAATTTCTCACTTTATTGACAGTCTTGGTTAATGGCCAGTCGTGAGGTGTTCATAATATGGGTGGCATTCAGTGCCATAGCACTCAATGTCCAGTCCCACAACCGATCATCGCATAACATAATCAAACAAATTCTTGCCCTATTCTTTCTGGTGACAACTGTCCTAYTAATGAGCGCCTGTCTGTTTGCCTCATGTATGCGTACACTGACCACCAAAGGTTTGGCATACATACCGTCATCGTATGAAGAAATCGGTTCCATACAGTTTGTCCGACCAGTTCAGTCCAACACAGATACCGGTGGCAATCAAAAGTTGGCCACCAATGGTGATGTAAAGATACTGTCGGCGGCCAACTTGTTTTTGGGCGAAAATTTGGTCACCTATTCGGAGGTGTCGTCGCATTTAAGTCATTATCAAGTAATGCGTTTCGCCACTGAAGTCTTTCCGGCCGCCCTATCCGTAGAGGGTTCCCATCAGATTGGCTCCATTTGGGCCGTATTTTTCTACCTGAGCGCCATTATGTTTACAATGGGTCATCTGATTGTTGTCTGGGGCAGTGTTTGCGACGCTATTGTCTCAATAATGCCAACATTTTTCAAACTATGGCGTCCGATACTTACGTTTGTTACCTGTGTGTTGGCCTTTTTGATGTCACTATCCATGACATCGACGGTTAGTTTTTTTTTTAATTATTTTTATTTTGTTTATTTAATTTTTAATAAAAATTAATCTATTTATTAATTAATTGAGCAAAATATTTATGTTAGTCGAGGGAYATATGAAAAAGGAAAATATATATATACATTAATAGATTTAAAATTAGTTATTAAAAAAAAACATTTTTATAAAACTGTAAATAAAAATTAATTATATATTTACTGAATTAATTTACTGAGATATGAATCTAAAATTTTTAGTGAGACAATTGTAAATCTTTTTTTATTTATTGTAAATTTATTATTATTTTTGCTAATTTTTTTTATTAACTTTTGAAACAAATTTTCTTAACATTTGTATAGTTATAARTAATATTTTTTTTAAAGACAAATTATTGATTTTACAATTGAATATATATTTTTAAATTACATTATATTTGACTACATATAATAATAGATATTATAATCTAAATATTGATTTATAATTTTTAAAAAATAGAATATTTTATACTATTTATAGTTTTAGTATAAAATTAAATGAAAATATTTTATTTTTAGAAAACTGTAAAAATATCATTAAATTAAATTAAACTATCATTTATATAAAGTAAGTTTAAAACTTATTAGCCTTACTTAGCCTAACCTATCTTATTTAAAATGTTTATTTTATTAATAAAATTAGTTAAAATTTTAATCAATATATTCAAGTTAAATTCTACATTATTTAATTTAATTTAATTTTATCAAATATTATTTTTTTAGTTAGATAGTAATGTTTTTTTTAAATATTTTTTTAAATAGTTATTACTGAGACAATAAATAGTATATTAATTTTTAATAATAAACTAATTTTTATGTCAATTAAATTATTTATTAATAAAATTTAACAATTAAAAAACTTATCAATTTAATTTTTAAAAAGTAATATATTTCAATATATTAGTAAAAATTTTATTATTATTTTTACGAAAATTTAGACTAATTTTTTGACTCTAATTAATTTATTAACAAAAAAAATTAGTAGTTATAATTTAATTAAACTAAATTTAAAAATCTAATTTAAATATTAGTCTACAGTTTGGGTGGCTCATCAAGAGTTATTTTCAAAATACACCATTTATTTCAAAAATTATTAATTGAAATTTATTTTAAAAATATATATCTTATTTATGAATAAATGGGATTTCATATTTTAATAAATATTTTTAAATTGGCGCCATTTTATGGCAATAAATTTACAAAGTTGCAAGTCAATTTTTTTCGAAACTTTTCTAGCATATTCTAATATTTGTGTAGTTTTTCACGAAAAAGTTATACTATATATTTTTAATAAAATTTTAATTATTGTTAAAAATACATTTAGTTTCTTAAACATTATCATTAAAACTAGAAAGAACTTAAAAATTTTTAATTAATAATAAAATTTAAAATTTTGTAAATTATAATATTTTTAAAAATTCATAACTAAACATTGGCTTAATTTTTGACAAATTTTTTTCTATTTATCAAACAAGTATCTATATCCATTTACACTGACATGATTTTTTTAAATAAAATATTTATACTTATTTAACTTTTAGTATAATTTTAGTTATGTTATGTACAGCTAATTTTGATTTTTTAAATTTATTTTTTTAAAATAATAAACGCCAGCTCTAAATCTACATTAAAATATTTTTGCTTTTATTTAAAGTATAGAAATAGCGCTATTTTTAAAAAGATAATAGGTGTTGGGCCAGTCGTATATTTATAAATATTAATTATTATTTTATTTTATGACTGTAAATAATATTTCATATATATTGATCTATTATAATTAATAAAAAAATTACATATTATTTGGTCTATCCCAATTCAAGCATTTAAATATTATAATTTTTTCTACAATTATATATATTTTTAAAAATTGTTACATAATGTTTGTTTTCAAAGTCAATGGATTATTAACTTTTTAAATCATTGTTTTCAATTTAAATGTGTTTATCTACTAAATAGTTTTATATATTTATATGTATATATTATATATATATATATACAAACAATTGTTTATTAAAATAGTCATAGAAATAGTACTGTATATTCATATAAATTTTTATTTATATTTGAAACCATTAATGAAATCTATATCAAGGTTTCAACTAATTTTCATTTTGTAGGCAAACCCTAATTCAAATAAAATTATTATTGTCTTCAATGATATATTATTATATTATTAGTATAATATTATTATTAATGTAAATCGTCTTTTATAAACTATATTATTATATTAAAACAAATTTTTATTTATGACCTAAATAGTCAAACACACACACAATCATATAAATTATATTTTTTTGACAATCAATTTATTTATAACAAACAATATATTGTATATACAATTTATTTATTTATTTTACAATAATTATTATATGCTAATATTTATATGCTATACAATCAGTTTTTTTAAAAAATACAATATATTAGGCAATGAAAAATTCAAATTGAGTTATCAAATTATATGTTGCAAATAAAAAAATGAATAAATCATTTTATTAAGTTTTATTTTATTTGTTTGTTTGTTTGCTATGTATCTACCGTTCCCAACAAAAGGCCGGCCTATTTGTCATATATTTTCTCGACTTCTGTATCGGATCTCTCTGGTGGTTAGCATTGCTATATTTATTGATGCAAATATCAGTGCTTATTATAAGAGGTATGTTTACATAAGATATCAAAAAAAAATTTTTTTTACTAAATATCAAAATAAGTTTAAATATATTTAATTTGTTGTTTTTATTATTTTTTTATTTTTTTAATCAATACATATTTTTAAATGTCAATATCCAAATGCAAACTATTAATTAAATTTTATTTATTAAGTTATTTTGAGTTACTGTGCATTATATAAAAAACAATTACATAAATATATAATATTTGAATTTAAAGTTTTTTTGTAGTTATGCCAATAATTATAGTAATTATAATTAACAATTGTTTTATTTTTATTTTATTTTTTTTTTGTTTATTTTGCATTTAATAATAATTGTTATTAAATATTTACAAATATAGGCCGTCCGGTTGGCACCGAAAATCTAGTCTCAATGTTGGCCAAAGACGAGAGCACCCGTAGTTGGTTACTGCCTATACTGACCTTCCAGTGGAACCTAATTATGCCGATCGCCACTATGGTTAGCTCCATATTAAGTCATATAATTATTTAATAAAATCAATCAATTAATTATTATTATTATTATTATATTTATAGATATTGTCGATTGCATTTACCCGTTCCTATAACGCCAGTGGCCTTACGTGGACACAAGTGGTCACATTCTATACCTATTGGCCCGATTGGACCAAATCCCTGTCCACTGTATTCCAGATTACACCACTGTTTCTCGTATTCTTTATCGGTTCCATACAATTGATTGTCTATCTGTTTCCCAAACAGTCGACATCACTGTTTCACGAACGCATACAAGTAAATACACACCCATTCCCCTACTTTCTACCCCCAATGCAGAGGACACACCTAATTATTGACACTATTTTTTTCTATCAAATAAAAAGGCTCTCTTTTGTCCGACACTGTCGTCGTTCACAAGTGCCGACGGCAATGGTTCGTCGGGTGCCATAAACACCGGTTACATACCGGACGACCCGCCGCCCAAATACGAACCGCCGCCCTCCTACTCGACGGCAACTGCCCGACATATTGTACAACAAATACGCGGCCGATTGACCCCAACTACCGGTTCCATACGTATGAGTTTTCTGTCGCCGCGTACCGCCGCCAACTCTATAGCCAATAGTAATAATAATAATAACAACAACAATACCAACGGTGCCGTCAATTGTGATAATACTAACGGTGCCGGTGGTGGTGGCGGTGGCGATGGCCTTGTTRTTGTAGTCAATAGTCATAGTAGTAATAATACTACTACTAATAATATTAATACAAATACTATTACTATTACTACTAATAATAATAATACAACAATTGGCTGTTCATCTGATGAGACAATCAAATGTTTGGAAACAAAATACGAAGAAATCGCTACCATTGCTAACACAATCACCTAAATTGATGACATAATGTCTTGTCTTAATATGTCTTAAGATGATATCTTACAAATTAAAAGTGATATTGACATTAATAAGTGATTATTTTTGGTGGATGTGATTTGAATTTTTTTTAGTAATGATAATATTGATATATAAATCAAACATTTTTTTTGTAATTTCATAGAAGAAATTAAGAAATAGGAAGATTTTTTTCTATAAATTTTTTTTATATAATCAACTAATTTATTGATATGAATAAAAAATTGTGAAAATATTATACAAACTCATAAAAAATATTAAAATAACATTTCAGCGATAAATATGATTTTTATAAAAAAAACTAATTGATAATTATCATTGTTTAAGTTTATTATAATTATTATTTATTTATTATAATTATTTCTATTTCTAAATAAATCTCATTAGTTATATTCATTAAGATTATTTAGTTTAAATTTATTATTATTTTTTGTCAATAATTTTAAACACAAAAAACATTCAACACATTGTAGACAATATTAAATTAATTGTATTATATTATATTAAATTTAGCTAGTAATTTAATTAATCTATATTTGTAATAATAATAATAATATAAAATTATTAATTAAGTGATTGTTTCCCCACTGAGTTTTTATATATATATAATTTATTGTATTATTATAATTTGAATTATAATTATGTTGTATTATAAATAATTATGTATTACATATATATATATATAAATATATAGTGCCAAATGTAATGTGACATTTTGCAATAAAATAATTTACACATTAATACTAGTTTCTAAAAAATATATATTATTAATTGAAGATTATTAATAAAGTTTTAAATTGATTTTTTTTAAATTTAAAATTTCATATAATTCAATATTAAAATTAAGTAAATTAAATTATAATTAAATTAAAATTAATTATTCTATAATTAATTAATTACTATATAATCTATATAATAATATTTTATTTATTACTAATTTATACTAGTTAAAAAATTATTTCTATTTAAATAAACTGGGTAATTTAAGATTTACCTAAGATTAGAAAAATATACTTTTATTTAGTTTACTACATAATAGATGGAGCAACTATTTAATAATTTTATATTAATAGACAATTTAAAACTTTAAAAAAAAATTTAGAAAACAAATTAAATCATTATATATTACATAATATTAATAATTTCTAGTAAATATAAATTTCAAATTAATTTATTATTATTATTATTATACTTTTTGCATTGCATTGTTTAGAAAAACTCATTTATTATGAATGCTTTATTAATTAATGTTATATTTATTGATTGATATATATTTTATAATTTCCAAAATTGTTTTACATCTAAATTTAAATGTTTCATTAAAGCATATTATAATAATATTTTGAAAAATAAATATTTATTAAAATAGTTGCTTTTCATTGCTTGTTTTATAACATATACCGGTATATAAATCATACAGTATAAATTAGTATTAAAACAAATAATATTATTTTTTAATTTTTTAATATATATAATTTAATTTATATAAATTTTTGTAAATTCACAATTTAATAGTTTTAAAGCTTAAGCATATTCAAATTAGATAGTATATTTAATTTGAATAATAATATAAAAATATATTTGTATTTATAATTTTTTACAATTAGTATTAATTACACAAAAAACATAATTGTTAATCACATATAGATATATTTAAAAATAGTTAAATAAATGATTTATTTATAGACTAAATAGCAATGAATACACACAATAATTTTTTATATGCTGTATATATATGAGCCAATAAAATCAATGACTTAATTAGTTTTTAAATGTTAGTCCTAACTCTAGCACCGGTATTATCGAGTGTCGGCTTTCTATTCAATCGATTCGATTGAAACACTGGCGATCCGTCCAACGACTCCGACTGCTGGTGTGTTGTCTCCGACTGTGTGGACGCCGATGAGGCGTAACTTCTTTCCTCACTACTGCTGCCACCGCCTCTGCTGCCGTCTAAACCACTGCTATAGCCTGTCTGACCAGTCGTGTAACCAGATCCCAGTCCACTACTAATGCTGTTGCCATAACTGCCACCACCGCCACTAATACCACTACCATAACTGTTGTAATTACCATAACCAGCACCATTAAGGCCCATCATAGAAGATGGCCCACCATAAGCGCTGCCACCACCAGCATATTGTTGGCTCATGTAGGCAGAAGGACCCATGTATCCAGATGTTGGGTTTGAGTAATAGTTGCTAATCGATGCCATATATGGTGACGACATAGAGTGCATGCCTGGGTTGGAGTACATCGAGTATGGACTGGCCTGACTGAAGCCCATTCCGTGTCGACCGACGCCACCCATGCCATAGCCGAAGTACGGGTCGGACATAGACATCATGCTACCGTACCCCATACTAGCCAGTGTGTTGCCCAAACGGGTAGGTACACCTCCATAGGAATATGCACCTAAAAATATAATTAATTTAAAAAAAATTAGTTATGTTGTTACTTTGATTGGGTATCATTATTAGTATGATACCTGAGCTCTCTAATGGACTGGCCATTGGAAAAGCTAGAAATGTTATAAGAGTAAAAGTTATAACTAAATTTTTGTTTTTTTAGTGTGACGGACACATACCTCCATGACTGTGCATTAATGGCATACTATTCATCGGAGGATACGGTTGCATGAGACCGCCGGAGCTGCCAATTTGGTACTGTCTCTGTTGTGCCATCATTGGCGCGGCCGAAAACAGTGACGCTGGTGTGGCCATCATCGGCGAAACCGGACCGGTAAACATATTGGGCGGTCTAATCATTGATAAATCTTTGACAGTCATATCAGATGCGCCGACACCGAAGGCGCGACTACTGTAGCCATTCATACTGTCGTAACCGCTGCGCGGATAGTAGCCTCCCGTTGCCGATGCCGTACCGTAATTGCTGCCGGCACTTGAACTGGTATCCCGATATCGACCGCCCAGTGTTTCATAGCTGTCGGTCGATGATTCGCTGGCACCGATAGTACCCAAAGTTGCCGACAATACGACAACAATCAATTGTGACAATACCTGTACGAGTGTTTGTTTGTACAAAAAATAAATAATTATGAAAACTTTGTTATAATAATAACAACATTTCAACAAAATTGGCTGAAAAAACAATAATAAAAACACACAAATAATAATTATTATAATAAAAAATTATTGCTAACCATTTATAATGATTTTTCTCTCTCTTTCTCTCTATTATTATGATTATTACAACAAATAAGACCACAAACCAACTAATCCAACGATAATTGTTATCTAAACAACACAAAAACTGTTTGATGCTAACAATTGGGAAAGTTAGCTTTTATATACCTGTTTTTTGTTGTTGTATGTATGTGTTACCAATCGACGACATAGTGTTTAACATAATTATCCAATTTATAGCCCAATTTATATTATATATATATATAACTATATAACTATATCTATAGATACATAATTGAATGACTGGACACAAATCAAAAATTCAATCGGAAATATCTATTATTAATAATATATATATAATAATATAACTACTACTACTAMACACACCTATTATTATTACTACTATTATTTTGTGTCACTCGTATCTATTGTCTTAAAAAGTAACAATTTTTTCTATTATTTTAATTAACAATTATTATAATTATTATTAGTTTATATCGATAAAATTATAATATTATATTTAGTTTACTTTTATTTTTTTAATATTTTTATTTCCCTAAACATTGCGCTTAATTTGTTTATAATTAAGATTCGCTTTTTTTCTCTTAACTTATCGCACCAAACCTTTGTGGCACTGGTAGGTGACAATTTATGGCTAACTTTCCCCCCCCCTTTAAATATATATTATTATAATTTATCAATACTATGCAAATACCTGTATTAATAATGCTTATTGTTTTCGTGTGTGTGTTGCTATTGCTATTCAAATTCAAACATAAAGTGTTAGATAATTACTTTATTTTCATATATTTAATATTTATTATTATAATTACTATTACTATAATTATCTGTAATACTTAAGAAAAAAATTAAACAAATAAACAAATAAATTGTTTTTTATTATATAATTGAAAAGTCATTGTCTTCTAATATATATTTTATTTTAAAATGTTATTTACAAAGTTATTTGGGTGTTTAAAAACATTGATATTTTTCAATAAATTATATAATTTAATATTTAACAGCTATTGCCATACAATTGTTCAATGAAAACAATAGAAATATTTATTTTTTTTTAATATATACAACTAATTGTTTACATTGTATTATGAGTACAAATGTTACTTAAAATTTATAAAATTTTTAAAAATTTTTAAAATTATAATTTTTTGAAATTTTATATATTTATTAAAAAATTATTACTATACTTTAAAATAAATTATTATTCAAAAGTACTTAAATAAACATTAAAACATTATTTATTGAATTTTTAATTAAATTAATACTTCTCGTATAAATTATTTAAAATAGAGTATTAATTAAATTGAGAAAATATAAATATAAATATACTGCTATTAGTTATAATAATAATAATTGTATTTTTATATAATATATATTATATATATATACCAATTATTTAGAAATAAATATATATATTTCTAAATAATTGATTTGCATATACTTTATAAACTATACAATAGATGGGAACTTCACATTTTAGCAAATCAATTAATTATATTATTAACAATAATATATATATTTATATATATATATAATACTATTGATAACATAATAATAATAATAATAATAATACTGTATTTATAATAACCATAAATAATAATAAAAAATATATATTTGTTTTCTCCTGTGAAGCACATCCACTATTACTATTACGACACCATTGTATGGACAATGAATTGTATGATGAGTTGGATGATCGCATACATACCGTAGTAAAGAAAGAAAGAAAGAAAGAAAGAAAGAGAGAGAGAGAGAGAGAGAGAGAGAGAGAGAGAGCACTGGTAGATAACAAGCACACACACCAAGARAGAGAGAGAGAGAGAGAGAGAGAGAGAGAGAGAGTATACAGTACTACACTATTCACATACAGAAGCCCTGCCTTTGAAAACATGCTCTAAAGTTACGGTGACTGGCATTGGATGAGTCGGATGATGGGGTGGGTATCAATTGTTTGGCACAACAGGGTATCTGATTAATATGGGCACCGGTATATGTAATAATAATAATAGTATGTACGACATACAGGAGGGCTGGCGTGTTAAGGCCTTTTTGTGTGTGCCATTCAATTGACTAAATACAAGCAAATATGTTGTTTGCCGGACACGCGTACCAAACCTTAACAATTATTTTTATTTTTTGAGATCCCTCTCCTCTCAATTTGTTTAACATTAAGTTAACACTACCAACAACACTACAAGCGTAAAAAACAACAACACCAACAATAGTTACAACAACAACATTGTTATCACTAATCAGCCAATTGCTTAACTAACAGCCCCTTTTCATAATCATCATCATCATCACCACCATCACTATCATCGACTCCCTGAGCCCATCACACATACACTTACATCCAACAGTGAGAGAATATAGAGTTGACACCAAAATTTTGACATTAYAGTCCTTACGATACACATATAGTTCCCCTAAATATATATATAAATTTATGTCACAACAGTGTATAAGTCTATTAAATAAAAGTTATAACTGTTATATACGAGTAGCGCGTAAGGTATCTACCTATCCATATGTGTTGGTGAGTGTGTATATRTATGTGTGTGCCGATCGTGATCTTTGTTGAACAATCAATTAGATTTGGGAGACCAACTGTGCTATAGTAGTGGTATTAGTGTAATAATAATAATAATAATAATATCAATAGTAATAATCACACGTAAAGCTACTACCAAACAAAATAAACATCAAATTATTATTATTATTATTTACGTGCCATTCCTATCGATACCCATACATACACACATACACGTGTGACTGTCCAATGAATGGTGGATAGAAAGGGCTGGCCATAGGTGTTGGTGTTGTCGTTGTTGGCGATGAAAGAGAAGTCAAAAAATGCTGCCCGAAGTCGGAGAGAGAAGGAAAACGCCGAATTCCTCGAGTTGGCCAAACTGTTGCCACTGCCGGCCGCCATCACCAGCCAACTGGACAAGGCGTCCATCATTAGACTTACCACATCGTACTTGAAAATGAGGGCTGTCTTCCCAGATGGTGAGTCTCTTTCTAATACATCCCATACCCATATAATACACATACATTGTATATTGTATCTAAAATTATATATCTGAATATTTCTATATATATATATACAGTAAGTGTTTGTTTATAATGTTGTTTTACTTAATTAGATTTATTTATATATTTTAATTTAGTTTTTTTTGTTATATAAACTTAGATTTATCAAATTTAGTTTTCATTATAAAATAATATTTTATAATTTAAATATTAAAATTTATTAGCATCTCTATAGTGTATAATTGTAAATTGAGATTATATAGTGTACTATGTTATGATTATTTTTGCAATAATACTATATTTTTAAATAAATTAGATTTATAAATAAAAACTAATAAAATGAAACATAAAGACAACAATACAATCATTATCCAATTTGTAGGCCATTATCTCTCTCTCTCTCTCTCTCTCTCTCTCTCTCACACACACACACACACACACACACACACACACACACATAGACACTATATTGTAAACTGAGTTTAAATGTCAATAAATGTCTGTATAATATATAACTTTGAATGTAACTTACAATTTATAAGACCTAGACGTGTCTTATCACTGATTTTCAGGTCTATAATCTTTAATGAATCAATTAAATAAATTTTTATATGCATTAATTAATTTTTGTTTTGTTTTGTAATAATTGTTTTTTATAAATTTATTCTGCATTACAGTACAGTATATTTACAACAACAACAAAAAAACATTTACAATACATTTACAGTAAAAGTTAGTTTGCTTTTTGTATTAATAAATTTTATTTTCTAAAATTCTTTACTGTATATAATTCACAAAAGTTARAAATATTGAAAATCAAAACTGGATTTTGTTTTTTGTAAATCAATGTCTGTGTATTTTAAACAAATGGTTAATATTTATTATTAATAGTTATATATATATATATGGTATATATATTGATATATATATATATAAACTACAGTATAAGTTATATTATGTTAGAGTTTTGTCAAACAGATGCAAATATTTGCTCATTTACGTGGTCTACACACACACACACACACACACACACACACACACACACACACACACACACACACACACACACACACACACACACACACACACACACATACATAYATATATATATATATATATACACACACCTGATGCAAACCACTGGACTCTGGAGTCCTGAGTGGTAATGCCTAAATAAATTGTATGTATATACTGTATATATGTGTGTGAGGCCAGTGGGAACCCAGCACAGGGAGTCTATTAAATTGTCGGGGAGTGTTATGTTTGGGGAGTGGAAAAGTCATTTTAGTCGACTCTTTTCACGCCTAATTGAAAGTGACTTTTGCTTTACTAAAAATAAAAACCAATTCATTATGTATTATGGGGTTAAAGGCAACGGTGAAACAAATACAGTATGCATACAGTTTAATGTGAAAATACATGAGCTATATATCCCTGACCACACTCTCCACTGTTTCCCAATTATGTGCTACTCTTTCAATCTCACAATAGTTTATTTAAATTTTTCTGTTAAAACAAAACTTGAAAACTAATATTATTATATTTTTCGTATTTTTATTTAGTTTCACAAAGTTTTAAAACAAATATAGTGTGTGTGTGTGTGTGTGTGTGTCTGACATTAGTTTGTAGTAAATATAATGCATATACAGTCTATATACTGTATATATATATATATATAWAAATTTAAATTTTAAAATAATGTGTAGTAAATAAAATGTTGGTTCTCAAGCCATACCTATATTTAATAATGTTTATCATTGTATGACATTAATGGCCAAAATATTATTTACTATACTTATTGTACAGTAGTTTATATCATATATATATATATATTTATATATTGTCTCATAATTTTTTTAAAGACATTTTTATGAATGACATTTAAATTTAGATAATAAGTCACTTTTGCAAACACATAATAAATATTATTATTAATTTTATTATTATTTATAAAAATAAATAAATAAATAAAAATCCTAACAATAATTATTATATAGTTTTGCTTTTATATCACTTCTACCAAACCTTTTAATAGTAATAGTCATTTATTTAGTTATTTATTATCATTTTTATTGTTATCAATAAATATTATTATTATTATTATTATTATTTCTATTATATTTCTTTTGTATGTCAATTACAAGCATTTGTTAACCAATGTGTGAATTAAAAAGAAAATAAATATCTATAATATAAATTTACTGTATATATATACAGTATATCATAGTATTTTATTTCATGTTATTATAGGGTATAATATTATATATGTGAAATAATACTGTATATTACAGTACAATCTATTATATGTGTTGTGTTTGTATGTATATTATATTTATGTTATGTATTTATACTGGTATTTGTTAAGCATGTAATAGAAAACCGGAAATATGGCACTCAATAGGGCATCCCCGAGCAAAACCCCTAACAAACCCATCAATAATAACTCATAAAAATTATTTTAGTTTTTACGACAACTGAAAACAACTACTAAAAAAACCTCATAACATATATCTATAAACTAATATACTGTACTATAGTATGTATATAATAATAATAATATAATATCTTTCGCTATATTTTAAGTGTCATTTTGAAAGATGAAGTGTAAGAAAAAAAATATTAACTAAAAACTTTAAAATGAAAATAACAACAAAAAACAATAATCGTTTAAAACTAACTAAACATAAACAAAATGTTTAACACAACAACGACAATGAAAAATACAGTATAATATAATTTTTTTTAAAAWTCTTTATTTAAAGTTTATATATCGTATTATACTCTGTGTTATATTAAATATATAATAGTTAACACCACAAGTGGTAACTACTGAATAAAAGTCATTTGCATACATAAGCCATACCTACCTTTCCGGCCGCCAAATAATATCAGTTAACCATTAATTTCCAGACATCTCTTACAACTGTTATATTATACTAAATATATATATWTTTTTAAAAATATATTCAATACACATATATTAATGCTTTTTTTATTTGTTTATTTGTTTGTTTACTACATTTTACTGATAATTATAGTGATTTCACGATATTTATTACACACTATTATCGATATTTTTGATGATATTATATTTAATTATAAAAATTGTTATCAATAGAAAAATTTACTATTTTGAATTTTGTATTTTATTTTTAAAAATAAAAATTATCTAAATATATGATATAAATTATATTATGCATAAATATTTCATTTGCGTCAATAATTTTTGTTGTAATTTATTTTATATTTATTTCAATGAAATCAAATATAGATTAGTTTAGTCTAAATAGACAATCATAAAACAGTTACATGTAATTTAATATTAAAATTATTTTTTATATGTATTTTGAAATTATTTATTTTAATTTAGAAATTCAAATTAATTTATAAATTATTACTATAAATAAATAAATATATTCAATATACATATATATATATATATATATATATATATATATATAACATATATAATAGTTAATAATGTAAACCAATTAAATTAGTAGATATATTTTTAAAATATATATTTATAAAAATTTTCAATATTAATAGTACTGTATAATAACTAACTATACTATAGTTAATAAAAAAAACATTACAAACATTATGTTGCAATAATTTATATTTATATTGAATGCTATTTTTCTATAGAAAAAACACACAAAACACATATTGTCTACAATTTAAAAAAATAYATCAATAGATTTATCATATGTTAAGTACAGTAAAGTAGAGTATATTATATATTAAGTGAAACAATAACTCTTGTAATCATCTGTCATAACAATCCTTGGATAAGAGATCCACACAATTGTGTGACAATAATACAGAGTCTGTATGTAATACTGTGTGTGTGAGTCTATAATAGGAAAATCCCTATGATTTGAGTGGATATAAAGTATAATATGGATATATAGTAATAATGATCGTTATGTCAGTCATTCATATATATATATATATATATATATATAGTATATATAATGTTTGGTTTATATAGTCTATACTAATAGTCTATAAAAATCTTGACGAAAGAGAAGAGAGAGAGAGAGAGAGAGAGAGAGAGAGAGAGAGAGAGAGAGAGAGAGAGAGAGAGAGAGCTCGTGAGACTCGCATCAGACAAACTACTGATCATTATTTATAAGCATAATTGTTAGGCACTGGTAGGCTATATAACCTATGGATTCGGCATTTTGTATGCCATACCAAACCATTATATGTTTCTCTTTCTCATCCACTCCATAGACGGCTAAGTGTGGCTGACTTGCCCTCAACATCGCTATTGAGCATCAATTAGCAACAACAAGGAGTCATACTGTGCCCAACAATAGATATTCCCATATGAGAGTGTATTATATATATTATTGTATATRACTAACAAAATAATACAGTAATAATAATAATAATAAGTTATATGCTTTACAATATATAGAAATCAATTGTAAATTGAAATAATACTAATAATAATGTTGATTCACACCATATTGTGTGTGTGTGTGTGTGTGTGTGTGTGTGTGTGTGTGTGTGTGTATGTATGTATGTATGTGTATGTATGTGTGTGTGTGTGTATGTGTATGTATGTATGTATGTATGTATGTATGTATGTATGTATGTATGTATGTGTGTATGTATGTATGTATGTATGTATGTATGTATGTATGTATGTATGTATGTATGTATGTATGTATGTATGTATGTATGTATGTATGTATGTATGTATGTATGTATGTATGTATGTATGTATGTATGTATGTATGTATGTATGTATGTATGTATGTATGTATGTATGTATGTATGTATGTATGTATGAGTGAGTGCGTGTGTCTATTGTAATGCATAGTACAATATATTTAATACATTAATTAGTATTACAATAATTGCTGACAATTGACTATTTGAGGCATAGATTTTTATAATATGAAAAAAATATTAATTGTATATAAATTATACACTAGTTATAKACTGTACATGTACTGAATAATTTAACTTAAATTTTGTTTATAACATAATTATTTTTGTTATTATTATTAAAAAAAAATTTAAAATAGACTTTAAAAAATTATATTCATATTGATTTTATTTGGTTTGACTAAATCATAAAAAATCAGTGAAATAATAATAATAATAAAAACAACATTTGATATAATCTCAAAATTCAAAAAATAAATATATAAAAGATACACTACCAGTGCTTCACCTAACACAGTGCCCCTTTACTATTGAATATACAGTAAATAAAAAAAGTTTTATTTTATATCATTTAAAACATACGGGAAATTCCTATTTGTTTGAAAAAGGGAATGTGGGATATTTGTGTTGAAGTGTTACAAGTATTTTATCTAACTGTGCGCTTATCTATATATATAGTAGCCCAGGTCTCTCACTCACTCACTCACTCACTTACTAAATCACAGTTTGATCCCAATTGTGTAAATCGATGTGAAAAGCCCTACTTTTTTTGTATGTCGACATAATTGCAAACATCTTTCACTTCTATTATATGAATGAATCCCATGGGAGGGCTCACTAAAAGTTTTTTTAATATTATTTTTAGTTCACAATTATATTTTGATGTTATTTTTCAGATTCATTTAATCAAATTTATATACAGTATATACTGTATAACTTATAACAATTTTTGTATGTTTGCAATGTTTTATATAACATTAATCGGACTTCACTTAATTTAGACTATTATTTGTTTTTTGGAGGGAAAATATTTTTAATTGTATCGGCAATATCTGATAAAAATGTGTGTATTTTTTAATATTTCATATATCAATAATACTGCTTTAAAATCATTTTGAAATAAATATTTTAACCAAAGTAAAGTATAATAGTTTGATATGTTTACAAAAAATATAATTAATAGTTAATATTGTAATATTAATTAATTAATTATAAGTATATGTATAAAAAAATTTTTGAGTATTAGAAATTAAATTATCTGTTTTATTTATTTATTATTATTATTATTTTTAGTTTATTATTTAGAAAATTAATTTTATTATTAATTTTTAGTCATCCATATTAGTCCTAAAGTCTAATAAAATTAAGCAATAAATTTGTTTAGTAAACTAAGAGTGAGACGACAAACTTAATGTTATTTGATATTTGTTTTACACACACACACACACACACACACACACACACACACACACACACACACACACACACACACACACACACACACACACACACACACACACACACACACACACACACACACACACACACACACACACACACACACACACACACACACAGACACACACACATACATACATACATACATACATACATACACACACACACACACACACACACACACACACACACACAATAAAACTACTGTACTTTAAAATAACAGTTTACTATCTAAGTGTTGGGAGGAAAATTACTCTTTTTAAAAAAATGATGTGTAAATTGATATCAATTTTAAATAGTTATGAAATTTTTAGGAGATATAACTAACGAGATTTTTGTGAAAAATGTTTAAAATATATGTGTATTTGTTTTGTATGAGTGAGTGTGTGTGTGTGTGTGAGTGAGAGAGAGAGAGAGAGAGTAATAAAAATTGTTTGCTAAAATATAATAAATATATAGTAGAGTATCATACGGTATATTGTTAATAATAAAACATTATATTAATAGCTATCATCCAAAAAGGGTATTGTTTTTTTATTTGGAGGTATAGTATCAATATATCTATTGTAGTGTTGTATATACACTATATATACTAAATGTATTGCCATTTTTATCGCGGTTTTCAGCCACCGTTCCCAACAAAACTGAATTACGTTAATCTCTATTAATATGAAGAGAGAGAGAGAGAGAGAGAGAGAGAGAGAGAGAGAGAGAGAGAGAGAGAGAGAGAGAGAGAGAGAGTAGAGATGAAAGTCAGTCAAAAGACAAACAATATATGTCAGGATAACTGTCAAGACATTAGGGAAGACACCATTTAGCTACCAGTGCCTATCAATAGCTAATACAATAATAGTCTAGGCTATGAATTTTTGATGGTATATATATTGTATAAATATATATATATAAAAATGCAGTGTTTTAATCAACTTCTATACGGTTACAATACTGTATAATAATGTTATGTTTGTGTTGCTGTTTGAATATGGTTTTTAGACTATTATACAAATAACCAGTTGTCCTACAATTGTTGGGAACTGGTAGATGATGTCTAGTACTGGTTTAGTTGTTTATGTATTGAATAGTAGTCTAAAGGTATTATAATGCTAATGCTCAAAGTTATATATATTTTATTTTATAAATAGACACCAATTTTCAATGGACCGTATAGTATATACAGTATATACTGTATTATTTAGATGCACTAACTAGAAATTTAATAATTCAAATAAGTAATAATTATAAAATAAATGTTTGTCTAAATCTAATTAATGTTTAATTTAACTAATTTATTATTAATATATTCAATGTTTATTCAAAAATATTTTTAAAAAATTTTATAACATAATATTATAATATTCTTATATATTTGCAAATTAATGATTTTATTTGCAATTATGAGTAGCAATTAAAATATTTTTCAAGTCTATAATTACATTAAATACAGTATTTTTAAGGTATTAAGCGCTTAGTAATAAATAAAWAAATTTCATAATTTAATATAAATAAATATTATAGCAAAAAATTATTATATTTATAATTTATATATTAAATATATAGCGGTATTAAATTTCATTAATATCTACACATTTTTATGAAAGTTTTGATAATAATAATAATATTATTATATTTGCATAAATACTGCAACACCTGAAAACGGTTAGGTGTGTGTATATGTATGTTGTATTGTAAACCTATATGTACTGTATATTAATAGATAACATATTATGTAATTATATTTATTTAATATATAGATATAGAGTATATAGTATATATATACTGTATATATTTACAACAAAATTTATAACTTTCCCAATGGTATTGTATTGCAGGACTTGGCGATGGCTGGGGAACGTTGCCTCCGCCGCCCAACCCCCATGAATTGGCAATCAAAGAGCTGGGCTCACACCTACTACAGGTATATCCCTCTCTCTCTCTCTCTCTCTCTCTCTCTCTCTCTCTCTCTCTCTCTCTCTCTCTTTCACCATCAATCAGACACTTGTCAAACATTACTTTAGCAAACAAAACAGTGACTAAACTAACTGTTTTTAAAAAAATAAATAAAATAAAAATGACATCAATAATAATAAAAACAACAAATGATTAACAAATTTATTTGTTATACAAGTCGTGCAATTGGATAAATATCTATTAATTATTAAATGAGTAAATACTGTATTTATATATATAAACGTATAAAAAATATAAATATAGTTTTATGTTAACAACTTTTAAAAAAATATTACTAATAAATTATTAATGAAAATCCAAATTGTTTATTCAGCATGTATTTGAACTTTTATTTTACCAGTTTATTATACTATAAATTATTGACTAAATTTTATGTTACACAAATATTTAACATATCAATCATTTATGGTAATTATTTAATAAATTAATAATTTTAAAAAATATATATTTATTTATAAAAATAAGCAATCATAAATAAAATCTATATATCAATAGAATAATAGTAATAATAATAATAATAAAATAGCCTATACAAGTAATTATAGATTAAACAAATAATAAAAAGACAAACAATATTTTATTATATCTAAATATAGATTATATAATAGCATAATAATAAAAACAATAGTATTAATAATAAAAATAATATTATTATATTATTAATAAGAAAATAAATAATAATGATATTATTAATATAAGATCATGTATTGATGTAATTATTATTTATTTGTGTAATTATTTTTTTGTRKCTATTTTAATACTASTTTAGTTTTGTTTACTATAATATTATTTTAAATAATATTTTTTTTATTATAATATCCAATTTCATAATAACCTATTAATCAAATTTTCATTAGACATTGGATGGTTTTGTGTTTGTTGTGGCGCCGGACGGCAAGATTATGTACATCTCGGAGACGGCATCCGTACATTTGGGACTATCACAAGTAGTGTACTAATAGCGCAACGATATGATTGACTAATACCTGTCCTTTCTGTCTGTCTGTCTCTCTCTATCTACTGTTTTTGTTTCGATGTAACCGTCTGGACGGGTGTTTTTTGTGTTGGTTAGGTTGAGCTGACCGGAAACAGTATCTTCGAGTACGTACATCCCGCCGATCACGACGAGATGACTTCCGTACTGACAGTGTATCCGCCGTTGACGACACCGACGACGTCGCCATCAACGACGTCGTCGTCGCCGTCGCCCTTAATGGTCAGCAGTCAGTCGATGGTCGCCAACGGTGTGACCGACTATGAGATTGAAAAGTCGTTTTTCTTGCGCATGAAGTGTGTGTTAGCCAAACGCAATGCCGGACTCACTTCTGGTGGCTATAAGGTATAAATGAGTCATTTTTTTACTGTATATAACTATAAGACTATCATCACTTAGTAGATAAACAKTAGACGAGACAGCCTACCTGTGCTAAGAATTAGTGACAATTTTATTAGCATTACATAAAAATATCATAATATGTTATAAAGAAGTTGTTTGAATTTTTTTTAAGTATAATTAATTGATAGTACTTTAGAAAAACATTAATAATATTACTGTATATCAGGAATTGTATTACAGAATATTTTTCATAATTATTTCTATAATATTTATTATGAATTAATTTTTTTTAAATAAATAAATTAAATTTTTAATTTACAGACAATTAAGAGATTTAAGTTTTTTTAAAAAAATGTTTTTATTTGCTGTGTTTTTGTTGTTTGAATTAATTATTATACATCACTATAATCATAATAATTACATATAGATTATGTGTAAAAATTGTCACACATTTTACATTTAATTTGCTATWWTTCATACATAATCYCAGTGGGAATTAAAATAGAAATAATTATCTCTAAATTACCAAAAATGTTTATACGGTATATCCAATATATTTTTAAATGATTACAATAATAATATAGTATTAGTCGATGTTAATTGAAAAAGATTATAAAATTATTATTATTACAGTATTATATACAGTAAATAAGTATTTTAAATATTATATTTTTTAAGTGCATATTAAGTTTAATGTAAATATCATTATTTCAATATATAACTTTTTTTAAAAAAATCTTATGTTTATATGATATATTAGGTAATCCATTGTAGCGGATATTTGAAAATAAAACACTTCAATATGGATCAACCGTTTCCCGACGGGTGCTACCAGAATCTGGGACTGGTAGCTGTCGGCCATTCGTTGCCTCCCAGTGCAATCACCGAAATTAAAATGTACAGCAATATGTTTATGTTTAGGGCCAGCCTTGATCTCAAACTGATATTTTTGGACGCCAGGTATGTTGTTTCATACAGTTCCCCYCATACAGTTGCCGACCCCCATCCWTCCCTCCCCCAATATATTTATTATCTAAACTAAAGAGCGCTTCTCATATAACAAACCATTTCCTCAATAAAACTACTGTATATACAGTAGTGACTAATATTTATAACAACAACAAAAAAAAAACTAATTAATTGATAATTATTTATGATGTACGAAAAAAATAATTGTTTTAATTTTAATTTATTATTTTAATTTATAAATTTATATAAAAAAAATAAAGAGTGTCTCAATTGACTGGTTATGAACCACAAGATCTGATTGAGAAAACACTATACCATTACATTCATGGCAGCGATATTCAAAATATGAGATTTTCACATAATGTTTGTAAGTATTACAGTATTATAATACGATATATATAATCACTTATAAAAAATACTGTGTATAGGCTTCTCAATAGGRGAAGTCATTCAACAACAAAAACAATTTAAAAAAAACTTAATTTAAATTTTATCCGAAAATTCCGTATAGTATTGACCAAAGGTCAGATGACAAGTAAATACTATCGATTTATGGCCAAACCGTACGGCTGGGTATGGATGCAATCGTATGCCACTATTGTTCACAATAGCCGATCATCGCGGCCGCACTGTATTGTGTCCGTCAACTATGTTCTAAGGTATAAGTGCCGCCCACTCCCCCCAACTACCCCCCTCCCACCACTCGTAACCAAAATTTAAATCTAATTTGTTGCTTATGTATTTGTGTTKGTTGTCTTATACCATSACCAACAGTGAGGCCGAGGTCAAGCAATATCAGCTTCAATTGGATCAAATTGAAAGCCATTTCAGTCATCGAGAAACTCTAGGCTACGGTTCAACCACCACCTCCTCCTCCGGCGGCACTGTACTACTCAATAGTAATACTAGTGTTGTTGGCATTAACTCTATAGAAAACGGCAGCTCTCCCGACACCAGTGCCAGTGCCGGCAAACTGTGCGCTTCTATAGCCAACAATAATAGTCCGACAACAACAACAACAACAACGACGACAACTAATCATAATAATAGCAGCAATAGTAATCACAATCACAACAACAATCATCATAACCATCATCAGCACAATGACAATAGCAATGATAATAATAAATGTAATAATAATAGTGTGGGCAATAAAATCAATACAAGTCATAGTAATAATAATAATAATAATAACAATTCATCGCAAGTCGCCAATTGTAAAGCTAGTGAGTAAACTATTTTTTTATACATACCTTTCCTCTTTCATACAAATCCCTGCACTTTATATACAATCTCTTACACACTCACTCACCCACTCACTCACTCACTCACTCACTCTCTCATTATAATTGATTAATAAAGTGAAAACATTTTCTCTCTCTTTCTTTATGAATATCTTTTTTTTCGTTTTACATTCAATAGACTAATTGACTGATTATTATAATAATTATTTTTATGTGACTTTCCCATTAAAACTGACTGTATGTCTGTCCCCTTTACAGTCAAATCAAAGCCGGGCCGACACAAGAACAACAATAGAAGGTCTTCCCCCTACTCGACAACAACGACAACGACGTCGTCGAAGACAACGTCGTCCATCTCCTCCTCCACCACGTCGTCCGCCAACACATCTAATGATAACAACAACTATGTTAGCAATGGTGGTCACATCACGTCCTCCTCGTTAGCCAACGATCCCATTGTCGTTAATTTTAATGAACTTAACGCCAGTGTTGGTGTGGGTGTCGGTGCAAATCAATGCATGAACTTTTGTGTCTACGACGATAGGACAACAGCCAACCAGTGGCCGTCCATCAATCGCCCGCTAAGCTATGCATTCAATTACGACAATAATAGTATGTATAATACATATTTCAATGACAATGAAGATGGCGTCCAACGGTTCAGATCAGCGCCAGCACCGCCACAGCCGACGTCTGCACTTATAGCCCATAATGACATTCAATATCAGGCCTACTGTCCAATGGACACAACAACGACGACAATGGTATTTCAAGATTGTACTGAAGGCCTGTCAAACGGTTCGCTGACCACTACGGGCCTCAATAGCGACAACAGTGTTGTCGTCCGGACGTACAGCGATGGTATGCAACAAAACGATTGTTCTTCCGATAATGATATCCAACGAATCAATTCGTTAATGAAATCCGGCGGACGAAACATATTTGCCGAAGTGTTACTCCGCAACACCTATACGGACATTACCGACAGCACCAGTATCGGTGTGGCCGCAGCCTCCGGTGCAGATATGTTGTTAGTTAACGGTGCCGTCAACGATACACTCATGCAATTTGATAAACCATTGGTGATAAACGCGAGCGACATATCATCGACAACATCGTCGTCGACTTCAACTTCGTCGTCATCCACATCGCCGCCGATGGCGGACTTAAGTGCAATCACTGCCGACCATCACATGAATGGCCATAAATCTGGAACAGTTATCCGATATCTGTCGGACGGTACCGCCTATACTACCAGTAGTGCTAGTCATTTGAAATATTTTCACGACACCAACAGCTGCGACAGTCAACTCGGTATCGGACCGCTGACGGCCATTACGCCGATAACACCGATCAATGGCTGCTCTTTGGCCCAGCACCCGACCAATAGTCTACCGTATCTGCAAAATCAGGCCAACACTGCAATGTCCACTAGTGCCACACTCGGCGGTGACGATAGACTAGACGATGGCACTGTCAACGATGGCAGTGACACACCCTATACGTCGGTCATTGTTGAGGCTCAACATTATCAGCACTTTGCCAGCGGTTTTGTTCAGTAATAATAATATTAATAATAATAACCTMCCAGTGCTTACTCTATCTACCAGTTCTTACTCTTCCAGAGTCTCTCTCTCTTTCTCTCTCTCTCTTACTCTCCAATTTGACGGCAAAAAAAGATTAGAGAAATAGCTTATATATAATTAATTGATTTCTTGTTTGTTATTTGTAAAGTAAACACAAAAATCATATAGAAATTCATATAATTTTGTTGTTGTTTTTGTTGATATACACTGAGACAAACAGCATATAGAAACAACAATAAAAATGTTAAAAAAAATTTAGTAATTTTTAATAATATTAGATATTTTTAAATAAAATATTATTGATTATAATAATATTAATATATAACGACAATAAAAAAAATATTCAAAAAAATATTTTACAGCAATTTTATCTACAATATTATATATGATGTAAATAATAAAGTTGATAGAAATATATTGATTATTTAAATAATGATATTATTATTATTATTATTGAGAAAATACTAATATTTAATAAAAAATGATTATAAAATACAATCATATGATTATTAAACGATAATTATTTTAAATTAAAGTCACATTATTTGAAGAAAAAAACAATTTGTTAATCAATCAATCAATGATTTCCTCTTTTTTTTTGCTAATTAATTATTGTTTTTCTTTTTGTTTTGTCAATTAATGTCATTTTATTATTATATTATTTATATATATGTTTTACAGATGATTATTATTATGTAATTTTGTTTATTTTTGTAGATTAGTTTTGAGGAAATTATTTAATAATTTTACAATAATTATTTGATTACCATAATATGATTTGTTGAAATTAATTTTTTTCACCAAAATATGATTAAAATTATAAAAATTACAAGAAAWTTAAAATATGATTAATAGATTTATTATATAAATAATGAAATTAAAATTAATTAGAAAATACTATCTGATTATAAATATAACTGAAATAATTGTTTGTTTTTTTTAAAAATAATCAAATTATTTTAAATTATTGTTAATTACTAGTCTTTGTCCATATTATTACAATAATTATTATTAATATAAATATTTTAATTAAAAAATAAAAATGTTTTTTAATTTTGATTATTTTAATTTATGTAATCTGTTTCAATTTAATAAACTATTTTATATAAATTATATTATTATTGTAAATAACTTAATATTGAAAATTAAATTTTTTGAATGCATTAAAAAATTATAGAAAAATAAACATCAATATTAATTTTGTTTTTTAACTATATATTTTTTTAATTTGTTTTATAATTGATAATCATAATTTTATTTATTGACCAGTATGTAAATATGTAATTAAATATATTATTTTTTATATTTTAAATAACGTAACGTTATAATTATATTTTTATAAATTTTGATAGCAATTATTTTATTTTACTATATATTATATTAAATATATTTTATTAAAAAAATAATATACAATAATTTAAGTTTAGAATAAATTTTGTTATGATATTTATAAAAATATCATAAATATTTAAAAATACAATATACAAGTAAAGCAAAACATAATATTTATATACAATACTGTGTTTGTAATTGTAAAATATTATAGAGTTAGTAAAAATCTAGTAAAAGGAAAGTCAGTCTACTTTATAGAGGACAGGCCTACTAAAAGAGAGACCTGACGTAACCATAGTTACTCATCCATCTGATGACATGAGTGAATGAGTGAGTGAGAGAGAGAGAGAGAAAGAAAGAGAGAGAGASAACTAAAATATTTTCTGCTAAGTTTAACATTCAGTCAATCATAAAGTTATATATTATATATATATATATTTATTTATACAGTATATACGTATATAGAAATTTATATATATTTATATAAAGTATATACCGGTGCGATATACTGTATATGAGCCTCATATTATGAGGTATGATATATACATATAAATGTATATATATATAAAGTATATATTATAAAAATAATCATCATTTATAATAGTTATAATATATACAATATTTTTTGTGCATTTTATTATAAATATCTATATCTATATATCTTCTGACTGTTTATGCATTTGCTTAAAATTCAATATTGAATTATTGTTATTACAATTTTAAAATAATATAATWATAATTATTATTATTATTATATAATTTGATGTAACGATTTAATGATATAAAAATACTAAAGTGTATTTTCTAATTATAAATAATTGATTGATATTATTAACAAATCTTTAAGTTATTATTATTTTTCCCCTATAAATTTTTATGTCTAATTTATTATATTTTTATCATAAACTTTAAATAGTATTTAAAATAATTGTTTTATTCTCACTCTTTAAAAAATTTCTATATATTTTATTTATATAAATAAAATCCTATAAATTTTCAATAAATATTTTTTTCAAATTATAGATTAAAACTATTAATAAAACTTTAATTTATTTGTTGCCAAATTGTTTACATATATATATATATAAGTTATACAGTTTCTTGATTCATATAATATACTATAATATATAGTATTAAAGTTTAATATAATTTATATTTCCAATAAAAGTTTACTACAGTATATGTGATAATATTATAGAATTGACTAAAATATAATTTTTTATATCAATATAATATATATATACCGGTATATACAGTATAAAAAGTCTATATAGTAAAAATAAGACAAACTTATAAATTTTACTAAGCTTATTTTATCAGTGACAATTTACAATACTTTATAAAAATGTGTTATTTTTGTTTGTCAAATTAAATTTATTATAATTTTTTTTTATTATAAGTATAATACAATCATTTTAATATATTTTAAAATAATTGTAAAATTTTATAATTTTTAAATCATTGTATAAAATCATTAACATTAAATACTTTTAATTTTACTGTAGTCTAAATCATCGGGTAATGGATCACAGTCTATGGTCTATCGGTATAGAAAGAGAGAGAGAGAGAGAGAGAGAGAGAGAGAGAGAGAGAGAGAGAGAGAGAGAAAGAGAGAAAGAGAGAAAGAGAAGAGAGAGAGAGAGAGTCCGAGTCTTATGTCATGCTATTTGTTATACATTTTTCACTATAACTTATCATATGATGAGAGAGAGAGAGAGAGAGAGAGAGAGAGAGAGAGAGAGAGAGAGAGAGAGAGAGAGAGAGAGAGAGTACAGTATATGTTATGTTAAATATTAATAACGTGACTATGAATTGATATTAAAGATTTAAAGCGCTTTTACTTTTTTTCTCTYTTTCATTTTGAAGTAAATATATTATTATTATTACTGTTAATATTTTATATGAGAAAATGTTATACACAATAAAATATAATATATCTATATATTTTATATATTGTGTAATAGACTATTATTATTATAGCACATCCCGTTTAAGTTAATAGTTTGTTTGAGTTGCAAAAAATACTATATTTTTATGTGCAAAAAGTTAAATACAAAATATATTTAGGTGACGGTCGGTCATAATAGGGATAAAATATTTGTTTATTTTTAAAGTTATTTTAAACTTTTAGTTTAAACTACTTAATAGATGAATAACTATCAATTAATTAACATTTTATGATTTCATTTATTTTACAAAATAATGTTATTAAATTAATAATATATTCAATATTAATATTATTTTTAGTTTTGTTAATAAAAATTAATTAAAGTTTATTTTTAAAACCATTATGTTTATAAAATAATTGTATATAATTATTGTAATTAAAAAACAAAATAAATATTTATTTAGTAATTTAGTACTAATGGTTAGCCATATATACATTGTATATTATAATTTATAATGATATTCATAATGCGATAATTTTTTTTTTGGGGACAAATACAGAATATATATTAGCAAACTATAAATATTAGCAATTAATATGAAATGAAAATTACTAAATGATAAAAGTTATAAATAACTTGTAAAACAACTTTTGATTTTTTCCCTAATAATAATAATATTGATAATTTAAATATTATATTAAATTACTACTGATTCAGGTCATAATGTTTTTTGATTTAGTTAGTGCTTAAACATTAAACAAACCGGAACCGAAAACCGGAAACAATAAAACGTTTCGGTTTCGGTTTTTTATAGCAATTAAAATTTTTTTAATTTTTTTTACCTAGTTGGTTTTTCAACAACAACAACAAAATTTACTATGAATATATTTACTTTACTCACATACGTAAAAGTATAGACAATAAATTTATACTGTATTTATTAATATGTTATAATAATAATAATAATATAAGTACTGTMTATACAATGTAATAAAAAAATARTAATCAATTAATTAATAATTTCTATGTGTAAAAACACGTGCTAATAACACAAATAGTACGTGAAAACAATTATTATTTTTTTTTTTGAAAACACAATTAGACAGTTAAATAAATAAATAATTAAATCAAATTATAGTATTATATTATTTTTTTTTTGGTACAAATATATTACAGCTAACCGTTAACACACACACCAGAACAGCAATATTATATACGGTATATATCAGTAATATATCTGTGTATTGTCTCGACCATACTGTACTATACTGTACTATACTGTACTATACTGTACCGAGTGGAAAAAACTACCTGAGCTTACAGTGTATTAGTTTTATTTTTTGAACAGTGTATCTATATCTCCCTCTCAATGGCCAATCGTCGTATCAATAAAGAGCTAATTCAGATGATGTCCGACAATAATATCCGTAAAAATCATTACGCCGTCGAACTGAAAGACGGCAGCGATTGTCACCATATTTTAGGCCAAATATTAGGAGCACCGGGCAGTCCGTTTGAAAAGGGTGTGTTCAAAGTGAACATAGAAATACCGGCCAAATATCCATTTGAACCGCCCGTTTGCAAGTTTCAGACCCGTCTCTGGCATCCGAACATATCATCACAAACGGGTGTCATATGTCTGGACATACTGAAGGACCAGTGGGCCGCCTCCATGACCATCGAAAGTGTACTCAAATCGTTGCAATCGTTTCTGTCGAGTCCCGAACCCAGAGATCCACAGGATGCGGTAGTGGCCAACCAGTATATCAGCGATCGTAATCTGTACAGCAAAACGGCCCGATACTGGACCTACTGGTATGCCATGAGCGACGACGACAAGAAATCAGTGGACAAACAACAGTTTATGGAGTTCGAGGACAAGATAGCTATGTTGATGGCCGCGACTCCCGCTAAATGCTCGCGTGAGTCGGCACTGTTTGCCCTGTCCTGTCACAACTGGGATGTCAATTTGGCGCTCAAGTTTGTATAGTAGAGGACAAGTAGAGTGAAGGACAAGTAGGTGTTATTATTATTGTTATGGCTTCTCATATTACAGTACTTACCCATCATCTCCTTTAGTATCATTAAAATAATATATATATATATATATATATACTGTATATAAATATTAATAGAAAACAAAAACAATCAAAAAAAACACAAACATATGTTTTTCATTTATTTTTTTTAAAAAACTTTTTTTATTTGTATTATTTCATAAATATAATTGTTTGTGATATTCAATCAATGCAATTATCAAATACTACTGTTTTATTTTAATTTGTTTGTTTTTTGTGTGTATTTATTATTAGTATTATTACATTATTTCAATTTCAATTAATCCTATCCATTGTTAAAGTTATTATCAGTTAAAATAAAAACCCATTTTATTTTTTTATATCTAATATAATTTTTCTAAATTACATGAATATATTTAATAGTTGTATTTATTTGTATATTATTGAATTGATAGAAGTTTTTTTTAATAAAATAGCAAATTTTGTTTTGTTATTATTTTTAGACAAATTGCTTTAACATTATTTATAGCCTTTATGATGTCAGGTGTAAATGATAGATATTAGGTGGTGGTCCGACCAGTGGGCCGGTCCAGGTTTAACCACATAATAGCTCTATCACTTTATAACCTGGTGTTACTGCCATTGTGTTTGCATAGACTTCTATTATATTGTACGGGTATTTTGAAAAAGTCAAATACTTGACGACATGTTTGCAGATGTCCTGTACTTCATATTTATTAGTTGTTATATCAATATATTGATATATGAGTGGGAACTATACCTATTTTTGAGAGAGAGAGAGAGAGAGAGAGAGAAGTATAGTGAACACAAACTACAGTGCATACTGTATATTGACACAGTTGTCCTCCCGGTGCTGCTGATGCTGTCCCGGGCAATACAGTTTATATGTATAACTTGACTATGGATTAGCCGCTTTGGTATTATTTTTTTTATATATTTAAGTTACTATTTAAGTAATATTTAAGAAATACATTAGTTTATAACACACTTATCCACACTCACCACTAGCATCGAGAGGACAGTTATGTTGAGAAAGAGAAAAAAGAGAGACAAAAATTTGCTAACAAAACACAGCTGTGGTTTTAGTGGACTAAAAGTGTATATAATTTTTTTATTTTATTATTTTGTTAGACATTACATGACAAACAAGTAGTTTTTCTAATACTACATACAAAAAAATGTGTAACTTTTTTATATATATATATAGATAAATCAATATATTACATACATTTTCACTGATTTATTGATATGATATATGAAAAGATACCGACCGACTCATCAATGGGGGTGAGGGGAGGGGAAAGACATGAAAGACAGTGTCTATTCAAACATACTCACATAYAAGCAAACAATGAGATCATTAATTATATATCATTGATAACCAAAGTAATGTAAATACTTTTTTTTGCAACAACAAAAAATCATAGTTTTTGCAAGTGTTTGTGTGGTCAGTTAGTTTGTGGGTGCCCCCTCCCCTCCCATCAGCAGCAACAGTAGGTGGGCGCTACAGTTGGTACTCAATATGATCATTAATTACAATAGTACTAGTTACAAATAAACAACAACAACAACAAAATTAACAAATATGTAAATTGTAACAAATATTTTAACACATGATATAATTTTTAAAAAATACATTTCAACTAAATGGCATGTTTATTACTCAAAAAAATAAAATAAATATATTAGTAAATTTTTTGTGTAAAATTCCAAGTTTAATCTTTTAGTAAATTTCCAAACCATTGACAATAAAAACAGTACTTATATAAAAAAGGGCAGTCCTCTTTAATTGTTTAAATACCCAGTTTATGTGTGTTTATGAGTATTTAAATTGTACATTAAATATTTCAGGTATACTAACTTATATAATACCAGACATTTTTTGGTTAACAAAACAAAAAATATTTGCCTATTTTTTTGTTGTTTAAAAAATATTTATAAATTTTACATATACATGTAATATAATTTATTCAGTATATACAGCATATATATATATATACCGGTATATAAATGGATAGACAACTTAAAACTGTGTGAAGAGTGCAAAAAACACCCACTATTTACCTAAAGTATCAGTAAAGTAGAAAGTAAAGGTCAGTTATATATTTTTAAATAACAGTCTATACACTACCCAAGTATGTATACTACCGGTTCCCATATGCAATAGTCACAGATAATGTGATCAACATTTACTAGAGAGGAACTACATGTATTGCGAACCATGGATGGACTGAATGGTATCTACGCGTGTGGTCATCATCTTCATCGACAGTGAACTATCAACGCGTTTAGATTTTTTCGATCCATCACTACGACCACTGCAAAGCCAACTCAGACTAAACGAGTTGGTCTTAAACATCATTATGATAAAGCCGAGCACACGTAGGGTTAGCCCGTGAACGGCCAGTATGGGTCCGTTCCACCAGAACTTGTTTTCGTCGAGCAGATCGTTTTGGTAGAGTATMGACGACGTCAGGCCTGACGGACACCTATCGAAGCCGTAAACCAAATACAGGATCATCTCGAATGACTGTTTGACGTACGATATGTGGGCCAACGATTGTGCCCAATCAGGTAGATCCCTGAGCGCTGCATAAAAGCCGCACAGTAACAGATTTACCAGAACCATACAGATGTTGAAGACCAGTGCCATCTTGAGATCTGATCGAAACAATATACCACAGAGAAAGCCTAAACCCTGTGAACAGAATCCACAGCCAAACATGACTAACATAAAGCCTACGAAACGGTTGGTTTCGTTAATTTGYGGATTAATCTTATAGACAATAACTACATATATGGTTACGGTTACGATAAACATTGGTAGTTCTACTATATTTTTAGCCAAATAATAGCTGCCGGTGCTGTACCAACCTGTTTCAGTTAAAAAATGAAATTGAAAGTCATAAAAACAACAAAATAAAGGTCAGTCCTATTGATAAATGAGTTACCATTTTTGCGTTCATTGAGAAATACTTTGAGCTCCGATGCAAACAACAGTATAGTACAGACAGTCATCAACGCTAGAAGCATAGTAATGGCAAAGAACAGATACCGGAGATTCTGGAACAGTAGGTTCTCCTTCCAGAGCTCGTCGGCCGTCTTAAAACAGGAACCGTTGATTTTGACGGCTAACGAAAAACAACTGTCTGGTTCACCCACCCGTCGATTGTATAGATAAGCCAACATTGTTATGATAACTTCGATAAAGATAAACTGTGCCAACAGGAACTTCCATTGTGAACGGATCTGATAGGTAAGTGATCGCTGAAACAAATACCAACAGTGTTTGAACTGAAACTTTGCCGCCTTATTCTGTATACCACGCGGAGCTAACTGTCCCTCAATCAAACACCGGTATCTCAATCGGTTAGTTAGGTAATCCGTTTGTGTGACTAACATCTGAATTTGATTGTCCGGTTTCGATGCATACTTGAGCAACACTTCAATRGGCACCTGATGGTCATAACAGTTAAGTTTGGCTGTAGTCAGATGCGTACGGATGCCGTTTGGCGGTCCAGTGTAGACACATAGGCCACCCTTTGCCAGTACGATAATCTGGTCAAAGGTCATGAAGACATCGTTGTTCGGCTGATGAATACTAGTGACGATTGCCATCTGATGTTTTCGTGAGATATCTTTGAGTACTTGTATGACCTGTTAATTATAATAATAAATATTTTTTATTAAATTTTTTTTATTAATATTCAGTCAAATTTTACTGACAATTTCGGCCGCATTACTGTCCAAACCGCTGGTCGGCTCATCGATGCACAACAGATTCGGTTTTTTGACGGCCATCAACTCCAGTGCAATGGCCAGTCGTTTCTGTTCACCGCCCGAACAGTTCTCCACATTAGTAGACTCCGTGTCACTGATCATCAAGTCTTTCAACAATCGTCGGGCATTTGCCCRATGGTTGACTACTGCGTGATGTTTGCTGTTCTTGATTTTCGACGCATAGACCAGTGTCTGGACGGCCGTTAGACCAGACAGCAGATGCTCCGATACGTCCTGTACTATAAATGCCGATCGCATTTTGCGATCGTTGGCCAAATAGATTTCGGTCGACGAATCTATGTTGTCTACATGTCTGCCATTCAGACATTTCAAAAGTGTGGATTTGCCCGAACCTGACGGTCCCATTAGTGCCACCATTGAACTGAAATCAATGCCACCGTTTAATCCGTTTAGTATTACTTTTGATCGACTCATTGATACTACCGATCGGCCATAAAATTTCAGGTCAAGCCATGCAATGGCCAATCGGGGCACCTCTTCGACCGAAGTCTGTGTTTGTTTGGTGTTGTCGTGAGTTAAATACATTATATAATCCAATATATTTTATTAATTTTAAATATTTTAATTGTATTAAAATTTTTGCAGTTTATTATAAAGAAGTTTTTATAAATAAATTTAATTTTTGATTTAAAATGTAATACATAATATTTTTTACATTTTTATTTATTTATAATTTCAATAAGTTTAACAAACAAGTAAATGACTATTTTATTATTATTACGAAATATTATATAAATAAAATTTTTAACATAGATTTGATATTTATGTTTTGTATAAATTTATATATTTATTTATCATTAAATTTTGTTTTTATTATGCAAATGTTTAATAATAATAAATTTTTAATAGCTTTCATTTTATTTAATAATATTTCTATATCTCTATAAACCTTAATTTATGTATTGTGTAAATGATAGTCAATAAATATTATGTATAAATTATTATTATATTATTAAACTTATGTAAATATTTAGTAATTAGTTGAATATACATAATACATATTTATAATAGACTAATTTAATCTAGGTAATTAGACATCAACTATTTACCTAAAATAAAGTAAAAGTAAAAAGAGTGAGTGAGTGAGTGAGTGAGTGAGTGAGAGAGAGAGAGAGAGAGAGAGAGAGAGAGAGAGAGAGAKAGATAGAGAGAGAGATAGAGAGTACTACATGTATTGCGAACCATCGATGGCCTTAATTGTATGTACCCGTGTGGTCATCATCATCGACAGTGAACTGTCAACGCGGTTAGCTTTCTTTGAGCTATCATTACGACTACTGCAAAACCAACTCAAACTAAATGAGTTGGTCTTAAACATCAGTATAAGAAAGCCGAGCACACGTAGGATCAGCGCATTGGTGGCCAATATGGGTCCGTTCCACCAGAACCGGTCTTCATCTAACAGATCGTTCTGATAGAGTATTGAAGACGTCAGGCCAACCGGACACCTATCAAAACCATAGACCAGATACAGGTGCATCTCAAATGTCTGCTTAATATACGATATGTGGGTTAACGATTGTGCCCAATCAGGCAGATCCCTGAGMGCGGCAAAAAAGCCGCAAAGTAACAGATTTATCAGACAGAGACCGATAGCGAAGACCAGTGCCATCTTGAGATCTGATCGAAACAATATACCACAGAGAAAGCCTAAACCCTGTGAACAGAAACCGCAGGCAAACATGACTAACATAAAGCCTACGAAACGGTTGGTTTCGTTAATTTGCGGATTAATCTTATAGACAATAACTACATATATGGTTACGATTACTAAAAACATTGGTAGTTCTACTATGTTTTTTGCCAAATAATAGCTACCGGTGCTATACCAACCTGTTTAAAAAGAGAAATAGATAGATGAGGGACAGCCATATTAATAGATTTTTTGATACCATTTTTGCGTTCATTGATAAAGACTTTGAGCTCCGATGCAAACAACAGTATAGTACTGACAACCAGTAACGCTATGAGAACAATACCGGCAAAGAATAAATACCGGAGATTTTGGAACAATAGGTTCTCCTCCCAGAGCTCGTCGGCCGTCTTGAAACAGGAACCGTTGATTTTGGCAGACAATGAAAAACAACTGTCGGGTTCGCCTATTCGTCTGTTATATAGATAAGCCAAAATTGTTATAATAACTTCWATAAAGATAAACTGTGCCAACTGGAACTTCCATTGGGAACGGATCTGATAGGTAAGTGATCGCTGAAACAAATACCAACAGTGTTTGAACTGAAACTTTGCCGACTTATTCTGTATACCACGCGGAGCCAACTGTCCCTCAATCAAACACCGGTGCCTCAATCGGTTACTTAAGCGATCAGTTTGTGTGGTCAACATTTGAATTTGATTGTCCGGTTTCGATGCATACTTGAGCAACACTTCAATGGGCATCTGATGGTCGTAACAGTTCAGGTTGGCTGTACTCAGATGCGTGCGGATGCCGTTAGGCGGTCCAGTATATACACATAGTCCACCCTTTGCCAATACAATAATCTGGTCAAAGGTCATAAAGACATCATTGTTCGGCTGATGAATACTCGTGACGATTGCYATCTGATGTTTTYKGGAGATATTTTTCARTACTTGTATGACCTGTTAATTATAATAATAAATATTARKTATYAAWAAATAATTTCATTWTAAATTTTACTGACAATTTCGGCCGCATTACTATCCAAACCGCTGGTCGGCTCATCGATGCACAACAGATTCGGTTTCTTGAYGGCCATCAACTCSAGWGCAATAGACAGTCGTTTCTGTTCACCGCCCGAACAGTTYTCTACATTAGTTGACTCCGTGTCTCCGATCATCAAGTCTTTCAATAATCGTCTGGCATTTGCCCGATGGTTGACCACTGCGTGATGTCTGCTATTCTTGATTTTCGATGCGTAGACCAGTGTCTGGAGGGCTGTTAGTCCCGACAATAGATGCTCCGACACGTCCTGTACTATAAATGCCGACCGCATTTTGCGATCGTTGGCCAAATAGATTTCGGTCGACGAATCTATATTGTCTACATGTCTACCGTTCAAACACTTCAAAAGTGTGGATTTGCCCGAACCTGACGGTCCCATTAGTGCCACCATTGAACTGAAATCAATTCCACCGTTTAATCCGTTTAGTATGACTTTTGATCGACTCATCGATACTGCCGATCGGCCATAAAATTTCAGATCAAGCCATGCAATGGCCAATCGGGGCACCTCTTCAACCGAAGTCTGTGTTTGTTTTGTATTGTCATTCGTTGAATACATTATATTATCCATTATATTAATATTAGGTAATAATTAATATTCAATTAATTAATATTATTAGTTATAGTTTTAAAATAGTGTTTATAAATTGTATTTTAAAAATTATTCTGTTTATAAGTTAATAAAAAATATATTTATTTTTGATATAAAATGTCAAGTATTATATTTTTTACATTTTTATTTATTTATACTTTTACTAGACTTAACAAATAAGTTAATGATTATTTTATTATTACAAATATTATTCAAATAAAATAATTTTTTTTGAGTTATGTTTAGATATTTACTGTATATAAAATATATTTGTGTATTATATCATTAAATTAGTTATAATTTTGTAAATGTTATGTTTGACAATAATATTTATAATAGTTTTTTTTTAAATATATGAAACTATTGCATTTTATATTGTAATTTATATACAGTTATATAAATCATAATKTATTATTGTAAATGATAGTCAATTAATATTATAGGATTTTTTAAAAAATAATATCTGTAAACTAATTAAACTTTTTTTTATAAATATAGTATATTTAGTAATTAGTTAAATATAATGTAATACAATAATATAATCAAGGTAATTAGTCAGTATATTAATTGCCAAAGTTATTGTAGATTTTATTGTATATAATATAAATGTTAGTACAGTATTAGTAGTAATTATTTTATTATAAAATAACATATCTATTTGAATGCACGAAAAGTCACTATTAATAATTTTTTATAATAGTTATAGAAATATTTTTTGAAAATTTATTTTAAATAATCAGGGTCACATTATATTATACAGTATATAGAGTAAATACAGTATATATATATATATATAACAATAAATAAAATACAAAATTAATATTAAATATATCTCTCTAAACCATAATTTATGAATTGTGTAAATAATAGTCAATAAATATTATGTATATAAATAATTATATTATTATTAAACTTAAGTAAWGTAAAAAAGAGTGAGTGAGTGAGTGAGTGAGTGAGTGAGTGAGTGAGTGAGTGAGTGAGTGAGAGAGAGAGAGAGAGAGAGAGAGAGAGAGAGAGAGAGAGAGAGAGAGAGAGAGARAGAGAGAGAGTAAATCTATTGAGATCTATCGATGGCCTGAATGTTATGTACCCGTGTGGTCATCATCATCGACAGTGAACTGTCAACAGCGGTTAACTAACTTTGAGCTATCATTACTACTACTGCAAAACCAACTTAAACTAAATGAGTTGGTCTTAAACATCAGTATAAGAAAGCCGAGCATACGTAGGATCAACGCATTGACAGCCAGTATGGGTCCGTTCCACCAGAACCTGTCTTCATCTAACAGATCGTTTTGATAGAGTATTGACGACATCAGGCCAACCGGACACCTATCAAAACCATAGACCAAAAACAGGTGCATCTCAAATGTCTGTTTAATATACGATATGTGGGTCAACGATTGTGCCCAATTAGGAAGATCTCTGAGCGCGGCAAAGAAGCCGCAAAGTAATATATTTATTAGAGAGAGACCGATAGCGAAGACCAGAGCCAGCTTGAGATCAGATCGAAACAATATACCACAGAGAAAGCCTAAACCCTGGGAACAGAACCCGCTGCCAAACATGACTAATATAAAGCCTATAAAACGGTTGGTTTCGTTAATTTGCGGATTAATTTTATAAACAATAACTACATATATGGTTACGATTACTAAAAACATTGGTAGTTCTACTATGTTTTTTGCCAAATCAATTCTTTCCGGTGCTGTACCAACATTTGAGTTAAAAAAAGTTGAAACTGCGAGAGGGACAGTCATATTAATAGATTTTTTGATACCATTTTTGCGTTCAGATAAAGACTTTGAGCTCCGATGCAAACAACAGTATAGTACTGACAACCAGTAACGCTATGAGAACAATACCGGCAAAGAATAAATACCGGAGATTCTGGAACAATAGGTTCTCCTCCCAGAGCTCGTCGGCCGTCTTGAAACAGGAACCGTTGATTTTGGCAGACAATGAAAAACAACTGTCCGGTTCACCTACTCGTCGATTGTATAGATAAGCCAATATTATTATGATAACTTCTATAAAGATAAACTGTGCCAACTGGAACTTCCATTGGGAACGGATCTGATAGGTAAGTGATCGCTGAAACAAATACCAACAGTGTTTGAACTGAAACTTTGCCGACTTATTCTGTATACCACGCGGAGCCAACTGTCCCTCAATCAAACACCGGTGTCTCAATCGGTTAGTTAGGCGATCAGTTTGTGTGACCAACATTTGAATTTGATTGTCCGGTTTTGATGCATACTTGAGCAACACTTCAATGGGCATCTGATGGTCGTAAAATTTCAGGTTGGCTGTAGTCAGATGCGTACGGATGCCGTTAGGCGGTCCAGTATATACACATAGTCCACCCTTTGCCAATACAATAATCTGGTCAAAGGTCATAATTTTGTAAATGATTTATAATAGTTTTTTTTAATATATGATACATCATTGTTCGGCTGATGAATATACAGTTATATAAATGCTATCTGATGTTTATTTTAAAGATATTTTTCAATTAATATTGTATGACCTTTAATTTAATAATAAATATTAGGTATCAAAAAATAATTTCATTAAAATTTTAGATATAATTTTATTAATTATTAAATATAATCGGCTCATCGATAATATAATTCAAGTCAGTTTCTTGATGGCCATCAACTCCAGAGCAATAGACAGTCGTTTACTGTTATCCATATAAATGTTAGTACAGTATTACTAGTGTCTCCGATCATATTATAAAATAATCGTCTGGCATTTGCCTTATGGTTGACACTGCGTGATGTCTGCTATTAATAATTTTCGATGCGTAGACCATTTATAGAAAAATAAAAATAGATTTTCCGACACGTCTTACTATAAATGCAGATCTCATTATATTATCGTATGGCCAATATATAACAATAAATAAAATAAAAAATTATTAAATGATAAAAATTTAATTCAATTTAAAATTTGTAAATAAATATAGTAAAACATAAAAATTAATTTACGGTCCCATTAGTGCCACCATTGAACTGAAATCAATGCCACCGTTTAATCCGTTTAGTATGACTTTTGATCGACTCATCGATATAATATAAAATTTCAGGTCAAGCCATGCAATGGCCAATCGGGGCAATTCTTCGATTTTTTGTTTTGTTTGTTTTTTTGGATCCGAAGTCTGTGTTTGTTTTGTATTGTCATTCGTTGAATACATTATATCATCCATTATATTAATATTTGGTATTCAATTAATTAATATTATAAGTTATAGTTTTAAAATAGTGTATATAAATTGTATTATAAAATTATTTTATTATTACAAATATTATTCAAACAAAATAAAATTTTTTAGTTAAGTTTAGATATTTACTGTACAGTATATAAAATATATTTGTGTCTCATATCATTAAATTAGTTATAATTTTGTAAATGGTATTTATAATAGTTTTTTTTTAAATATATGATACTATTGCATTTTATTTTGTAATTTATATACAGTTATATAAATCATAATGTATTATTGTAAATGATAGTCAATTAATATTTTAGGAATTTTTTTAATAATAACAGTAAACTAATTAAACTTTTTTTTAGATATAGTATATTTATTAATTAGTTAAATMTAATGTAATACAATAATATAATCAAGGTAATTATTATATATTAATTTTATATTATTAAATAATTCGTAAAACCGACTATAACCGGGTATAACCRACTTATGTAGTGAATCGCTATGCGTCCATATGTTTGGGAACATATTCGGTATATATAACGCATTTGTTAYATACATATATCTCTGAATAAATAAAATACAAAATTATTAAATGATTTGAAATTTAATACAAATAAAACACAAAAGTAATATAAAAATTTCAAAATACAAAAAGTAAACATCAAAATTGAAGGGCAAACTGGACTTTGACTTATCGACACCAACAGTACAAAGTGGTACCCGATTTGCTTCCAGTCTTTGACTGTYCGGTCGACGATTTAGCGGACATTGAATATGTCGATGYGKTYGACTCTGTATTGGGATACGTCTAATAAACAATACATATTTGCAGAGAAAACAGCGGTAATATATATCCAACACATATATATATATATATAAATTTTWAAAATAAATTACTATAATTACAAACCGAAATATTTGGTGTATTTTGATGTTTAGTAATCCAGTTATTGGCATCATTTTCATCAGTGAATGTAAGACTAATCAAATTTAACAATTTAAAGTCGAATATTTCAAAAACTATTCGACATAATGATATGTTTTTAGAATTATGATTAGTGTTATATATARWAATAATGTCTATATATAACGTAAAATTAGAAAAAAATAAAGTCGAATATCTCGAAAATTATTCAATAAAATTATAATTTGAGTTTATATTTGATTTTTAAAATTAATTTAAAGTATTACAAATATAATGAATAAAATGCATAGTACTCTCAGCKTTAACCTAACCCGATTTATGGTGATTATGATGGGTTTTAATAATGGCAGGCATAAACAATAGATGCCAATTTTGCTAAATGCCTGCCTTGTCTCTGCCATGCCCTGGGCATCTATTTTCAGGTGGTGACACCTATTATTTTAATTTTATATTATTAATTAAAAAACACTGTTTWATCTCTATATTTGTTTGATATAGCTATAATTATATTGTAATTAGAATTAAGTCAATTAATTGTATATTTAATTTACACGGCAAAAAAACTAAATTAACTTTTTAGCAATTTAAATTGGCAAGCAAATAAAATAGATGCCCAAAATGTCAGGCATTTATGGCATATCTATTTGGTTATTGCCAGGTCAGGCATTTATTTACTAAAAACCCTGGATTGGACACTAACACAGCCGTCAATCAATCAGTAATCAAACAGTATTTGATGGCCACAAATGTTTTTTTTAAAATAACTTTTAATAATTAATATTAATCACAAGTTTATGTTTTGTTTAATTGAATTAACTGTTGAAACAAACAAAAAAAAACAAAATTCAATGAAATTAATGGTTAAGAGTTTTAAGACATACAAAGAATCGGTTGAAATGAATGACTAATCAAAAAGTTTTTAACAGTTTTTCTCTATTTTGTAGTTATGTTTAAAAATTCAAACTTTGTATTCAATGTTACAATTATATCATTAAGTTTTAATATTTATGTATTGTATAAATTTATATATTTTATTAATCATTAAATTTAGCTTTTATTATGCAAATGTTTAATAACAATAATAAATTTTTAATTGCTTTCACTTTCTTTAATACTATTTCTATATCTCTATATATGTATATATTTGTATATTTATGTATTGCGTAAATTATAGTCAATAAATATTATTTATAAATAAATATATTATTATTAAACTTATTAAACTTAAGTAAAGTAAAAAAATTGAGTGAGTGTGTGTGTGTGTGTGTGAGTGTGTGTGAGAGAGAGAGAGAGAGAGAGAGAGAGAGAGAGAGAGAGAGAGAGAGAGAGAGAGAGAACTACATGTATTGAGATCTATCGATGGCCTGAATGTTATGTACCCGTGTGGTCATCATCATCGACAGTGAACTGTCGGTGCGGTTAGCTTTCTTTGAGCTATCATTACKACTACTGCAAAACCAACTCAAACTAAATGAGTTGGTCTTAAACATCAGTATAAGAAAGCCGAGCACACGTAGGATCAGCGCATTGACAGCCAGTATGGGTCCGTTCCACCAGAACCTGTCTTCATCTAACAGATCGTTTTGGTAGAGTATTGACGACATCAGACCAACCGGACACCTGTCAAAACCATAGACCAGATACAGGTGCATCTCAAATGTCTGCTTCATATACGATATGTAGGTCAACGATTGTACCCAATCAGGCAGATCCCTGAGCGCGGCAAAGAAGCCGCATAGTAACAGATTTATCAGAGTAACACCGATGGCGAAGATCAGTGCCATCTTGAGATCTGATCGAAACAATATACCACAGAGAAAGCCTAAACCCTGTGAACAGAACCCGCAGCCAAACATGACTAACATAAAGCCTACGAAACGGTTGGTTTCGTTAATTTGCGGATTAATCTTATAGACAATAACTACATATATGGTTACGATTACTAAAAACATTGGTAGTTCTACTATGTTTTTTGCCAAATAATAGCTACCGGTGCTATACCAACCTKTTTCAGTTAAAAAAAGAGAAATAGATAGATGAGGGACAGTCATATTAATAGATTTTTTGATACCATTTTTGCGTTCATTGATAAAGACTTTGAGCTCCGATGCAAACAACAGTATAGTACTGACAACCAGTAACGCTATGAGAACAATACCGGCAAAGAATAAATACCGGAGATTTTGGAACAATAGGTTCTCCTCCCAGAGCTCGTCGGCCGTCTTGAAACAGGAACCGTTGATTTTGGCAGACAATGAAAAACAACTGTCGGGTTCGCCTATTCGTCGATTGTATAGATAAGCCAAAAATGTTATGATAACTTCAATAAAGATAAACTGTGCCAACTGGAACTTCCATTGGGAACGGATCTGATAGGTAAGTGATCTCTGAAACAAATACCAACAGTGTTTGAACTGAAACTTTGCCGCCTTATTCTGTATACCACGCGGAGCCAACTGTCCCTCAATCAAACACCGGTATCTCAATCGGTTAGTTAGGCGATCAGTTTGTGTGGTCAACACTTGAATTTGATTGTCCGGTTTCGATGCATACTTGAGCAACACTTCAATGGGCATCTGATGGTCGTAACAGTTCAGGTTGGCTGTAGTCAGATGAGTACGTATGCCGTTAGGTGGTCCAGTGTAGACACATAGTCCACCCTTTGCCAATACAATAATCTGGTCAAAGGTCATAAAGACATCATTGTTCGGCTGATGAATACTTGTGACGATTGCCATCTGATGTTTTCGGGAGATATTTTTCAGTACTTGTATGACCTGTTAATAAATATTTGTATTAAAAAATTATCATTAATATTCAATTTAAATTTTTCTGACAATTTCGGCCGCATTACTGTCCAAACCGCTGGTCGGCTCATCGATGCACAACAGATTCGGTTTTTTGATGGCCATCAACTCGAGTGCAATAGACAGTCGTTTCTGTTCACCGCCCGAACAGTTTTCTACATTAGTTGACTCCGTGTCTCCGATCATCAAKTCTTTCAATAATCGTCTGGCATTTGCCCGATGGTTGACCACTGCGTGATGTCTGCTGTTCTTGATTTTCGATGCGTAGATCAGTGTCTGGAGGGCTGTTAGTCCCGACAGCAGATGCTCCAACACATCCTGTACTATGAATGCCGACCGCATTTTGCGATCGTTGGCCAAATAGATTTCGGTCGACGAATCTATRTTGTCTACATGTCTGCCATTCAGACACTTCAAAAGTGTGGATTTGCCCGAACCTGACGGTCCCATTAGTGCCACCATTGAACTGAAATCAATTCCACCGTTTAATCCGTTTAGTATGACTTTTGATCGACTCATCGATACTGCCGATCGGCCATAAAATTTCAGATCAAGCCATGCAATGGCCAATCGGGGCACCTCTTCGACCGAAGTCTGTGTTTGTTTTGTATTGTCATTCGTTGAATATATTATATTATCCATAATATTAGTTAATTGAATAATAATAATAATTACCAATTATTATTTAATTAATTAATATTATTACTTATCGTTTTTAAATATAGTGTATATAAATTGTATTAAAAAATTTTGCAGTTTATAAGTTACTAAGTTTTTGAAAAGTATAAATATAAAATAACATTTTTTTAAATATCAAGTATTATATTTTTTTCATATTTATTTTTTTAATTTTATTAGATTAAACAAATAAGTTAATGATTATTTTGTTATTACAAATATTATTCAAACATAAAAAAATTTTTGAGTTAAGTTTAGATATTTTACTGTATATAAAATATATTTGTGTATTATATCATTAAATTAGTTATAATTTTGTTAATGTTATGTTTGACAATAATAGTTATAATAGTTTATTTTAAATCTTTGAAACTATTGCATTTTATATTGTAATTTATATACAGTTATATAAATCATAATTTATTATTGTAAATGATAGTGAATTWATAGTATAGATTTTTTTTATAATACCACTAAACTTATTGAACTTTTTTTAAATATAGTATATTTAGTAATTAGTTAAATATAATGTAATACAATAATATAATTTAGGTAATTAGTTACTATATTAATTGTCAAAGTTATTTGTAGATTTTTTATCGATGTAAATGTTAGTACAGTATTAGTAGTAATTATCATATTATAAAATAACATATCTATTTGAATGCACGCAAAGTCACTATTAATAATTTTCCTAATATTTATAGAAATATAAAAATATTATTTTTAAAGATTTAATTTTAATCAGGGTCACATTATATATATATATATATAMATACAGTAAATATCTCTCAAAAAATAAAATACAAAATTATTAAACGATAAAAATTTAATACAAAAAAACAACACAAAAGTAATACAAAATTTGTAAATATAAATAGTAAAACATAAAAATAAATTGTCGAAAAATTAAATTACAATATATATATATATATATAAATTATAATACTATTCTGTATACTAAAAATAATGTACAAATTTGATAAATATTTAGCAAAAATGAAAAATAAAAATAAAAACAATAATAGATAATCATTAATATCATTAAAAAAATTGATTGATTTGTTGTTTTCGATAAATAAATATGAATTACATCGTCGATCTCATCTGATTTCCCGTATCGCCAACATTGGAGGGCAGACTAGACTTCGACTTTCCAACAGCACCTGTACTACTGGTACCCGTTTTACTACCAGTCTTTGACTGTCCGGTCGACGATTTAGCGGACTTTGACTTTACCGGTGCCGCTGACGAATCGCTGTCTTTTTTGTCTTCCGACTTACGGCTACCCATCATAAAGCAGACGACACATATGACAATCGCAACAATAATAATGATAATGATTATCACAACTATTATTATCCATAAGAGAGACGAACCGCTGTCACTGTTGGCAGTGGTCGACCCGACAGATGATGTATTACCAGATTCATCTGCTGTTATGCCGACCGGTTGGCTTGTAGTTTGGTTTGACGACGACCCAAGACCTTCGCCCTCCGCTCCTTCGCCCATCTGTGTTGTCGGTTGGGTGGGCGGCGGCGGTGGCGTAAACTTTACACAGTCGATCAATGTGTTGGTTCCCTGATTGCACTGTTAATACAGTATAAACATATTATTATAGTTATTAAAAAACACTTTACACGCCTAACCACTCTCTACCCCCAACCCCTATCCAACTATTATTACCTCAAAGCTGAAACCGCTGACATCAGTCGTACAAAACTCTATGGAAGTGTTGGTCTTATAGTAGACCATAAACTTATCGTTAGAATAGGGACCCATAATCAGTACAATCTCGTAGACGTGACGATTGCCGGTAAACAGCGGCAAATATGGCATATCCTTCCATTCGTCGATCATCTTTTGGGTGACATTTTTTGGTGCCTTTTTGTCCTCAAAGTCAATGCAAGTCATTTTGCCGATAAAATCTTGACCGTCGGGATTGATTGTATAGAAACACATCCAGTTTTTGTCAAACAATGATAGGCTGAGAGTTGGATTAAATTGCTGGTCATAGTTGGTGTGAATGTGCGACTGAGGCAGACCAGGCACTTGTGACGGGTTTGACAGATCGTTCAGATCTTTTCCCGGGAATCCAATCCAATCGACAAGTGGTTTGTCGGCCTTTAATGAATAAAAATGTTAGAGAAGAGAGAGAGAGAGAGAGAGAGAGAGAGAGAGAGAGAGAGAGAGAGAGAGAGAAGAGAGAGAGAGAGAGAGAGAGAGAGAGAGAGAGAGAGAGAGAGAGAGAGAGAGAGAGAGAGAGAGAGAAAGAGAGAGAGAGAGAGAGAGAGAGAGAGAGAGAGAGAGAGAGAGAGAGAGAGAAGAGAGAGAGAAGAGAGAGAGAGAAGAGAGAGAGAGAGAGAGAGAAGAGAGAGAGAGAGAGAGAAGAGAGAGAAGAGAGAGAGAGAGAGAGAGAGAGAGAGAGAAGAGAGAGAGAGAGAGAGAGAAGAGAGAGAAGAGAGAGAGAGAGAGAGAGAGAAGAGAGAGAAGAGAGAGAAGAGAGAGAAGAGAGAGAAGAGAGAGAAGAGAGAGAAGAGAGAGAAGAGAGAGAAGAGAGAGAAGAGAGAGAAGAGAGAGAAGAGAGTAGAGATTAAATGATAATACCCTAAGAAATCCATGAATGGCTGCGTCTTCCTGGTCTCTCAACGTAAAACCAGTCCTATATTTAGTGCCGGATATCTCAGGTATAACCGACTTATGGAAAGAGTCGCTATGCGTCCATATGTTGTCGTCGATGGCAAACACTTTGAGATCAGTGAACGGATTAGTTGTGAACCGTATCCTCTGAAACGTATAGCTCAGCTGATAGTGTTTGTTAGCAAACAGTTGGCAAAAGTCATCGTCACAATCAACCAAACCGATCAACTCAGCGGCTGTGGTCACTATGACGGGTGAAGAGGGAGGACAGAGATGACAGAGTAAGAAATAAGTGTTAGATATAGTGTGTCGGTTAGAAATTTGTCGGTTAAATCTTAAAAGGATTTAGAGATAAGGGGTTGGAAGGATGTCATACCTATGATAATGATAGTCATTAATCTATAGCTATTCATATTGGATTTCATCAAATTTAGTTCAGATAATATCAGTTAATAGTGGATCGTCTCTGTCGTAGCTGTCTATGAAAATAACGGTCGAGTTTTTTGTATTTTTTGGATAATTAATTCAAATTGCTGTACAAAAAAAATATCAATCATTAAATTAGTAGTTCTTAATTAGTAACAATAACTGCTAATTTGGTTGTAATTTCAAAAAATTATTTGTTTGTTTCGCGCAAATTGTCTCAAAAAAATTATAATTATTAGTTTAAAAACAGTTTATTTCTATTTTTTGTTGTATTAATGTTTGAAATTCAAACTTTGAATTCATTGTTACAGTCATTACACGCGCGCTATCACTATTATTAAAGTAATGATTAATTTGATTTTTTTATCAAATAATTCAATTCAGACAATAAGTAGAAAAATAAAACACTAAAAATAAATTGTGATTAATATTTTGATTTTACAGCTCAGACAGTATAACACAATTATCATTAAAATTGTTATTTATTTATATACATGTTTATTGCAATTGATTAGCAATAGTAGTGTTGATACCGATCGACGACCTGTCCTATTGATGACTACACCGAGTGATAAAAAGTTAGTCAAACTATCGGACGAAGAGTCTAATATATTGAGTCGTAAGGGCTATACTATTGAGAAATACTCGCTAAACTCTGGCGCCTACGCCGATGTCTACAAAGGCCAATACAATGGACAGGATGTGGCCATCAAAGTGATTGACACCAGAAAAGTATCCGAAGACTATAGAAGCAAATTCTTGCCGCGAGAACTGTATGTTATGCGTAAACTAAAGCATCGGTTTATACCCCGTATGGATGAGATACTGTTGATCGGTAATCGTATATTTGTAGTCATGGAATTGGCCGAAGGCGGCGATTTGTTGGATATGATTAACGCTAATCGCCGGCCATTGACAGAACCGGTAGCCAAACGCTACTATCGACAAGTGTCCGAAGCACTGGACTATATACACAACGAAGCAATAGCCCATCGGGACATCAAATGCGAGAATATTTTGCTAAACAAACAGAAAACAGTGGCCAAACTGACCGACTTTGGGTTTGCCCGAACCTGTTTCAATGCACAAAGCGGTTATCGCATGTTAGCCGAAACCCAGTGCGGTACTACTGGTTACGCATCGCCCGAACTGCTCAGCGGACAGCCATTTGACGCTATGATGAACGACTGTTGGGGAATGGGTGTTGTACTGTATGTAATGTTGACCACCAAAATGCCGTTTACCGTCAAACACTTGCGCACCAAACAGCTGACCAAACACTATAGACTACAACAATTGCCAATCAGTGACGACAGCAAAGATCTGATTTCCAAACTGCTTGAACCAGAAGTCAGCAAAAGACTTACAATGCCTCAGGTCCTCAACCATCGGTGGCTTAAAGGGGTTAAAGTTTAAAATCGTCGATTAAAGCCCAGAGAATCGGTAGTATTTCGGACAGTTAGTTAGTTTGTGTTGTTTATATATAATATATATATGAAATGAAATCGTAGAAAATTCATAGATAAATAAAATACTGTAATAAACATTAATCTTTACATTAAAATCTTGGAATAATGTATTAATATTTATTTATTAAAAATAAAAAAAATAGTATTTATCGTAACTATAGTATGTATTATATTCATTAACAGTTTACTAATTTATTACCGATATTTTAAAAAAAAATAAATACTTTATACAAAAAAATAATATACAGTAAATTAAAGAAAATATATTTTAATATAATTTATAGAAACAAAAACAAAACTAACAAAATAAACATTAAATTCAAAATCTATTTTTAATATAAAAAAATGAGAAATCAATGAAACAAACAAAAAACAAATGGCTATGAAAATTTAGATAACAAATGAAATAATTCATAAAAAATATGTAATAAATTGTATAATAAATTGCGAGAAAATTATATATGAAATATATACTGTATATATATAGAAATTAAACATATTGTATAAATTGATGTTTGATTGATTAGGTGTGTTCATTGACTATAGACTTTAGACACACCTACTGGTTGGTAATCGTCGAAACACCAACAACGATGACAATGACGATGATGGCCATCCATAAGGATAGTCGGACACTGTTGTCGGCTGCCGTCGATTCCGCCGTACCGATGACAATCATTGGCTCATCATAAGCGGCTCCGGGCGGTGGTGTTTCGTCACTATAGCAAGGAGTATACGACTTGCATAGCAAATGGTCGGTCATATCTTTGGGCTTCAATGCCTTACAATTGGCTTCATTGGTCACAAACTTTTTGTCGGTACAGTCTTTTATTTGATCGACAAGAGTTTCCTTCTTAACATACTTACACCCCTTTGACCCCTCTTTGGCCTTTAAAAAAATAAACACTTTTTTGGTTTAATACCCGTTAATTAAAACCCAGTATTAACTAATGAAAAATGACTGACCAGTTTGTTTTGATGGCAATATGCCTCCAAACGATAGCAACAACGCATATTTGCATCTGCATGAAAGTCGACATCCCATCTATCCTGGGAACACCTCAGCAACGGATTAAGATTATCATAACAGGTTGTATCAAAAAGAAACCGCCGAAACAATTGGTGCGACCGATGCTGTTGTTGTGGTAGTTGACTGCCATTAGTTGTTGCCGATACTGTTGTCGATACCATACAAACAGTTAGCGATAATAATACCACAGAAGCCGACGCCGCCGCCGATAAAAACAACATTGACTGTAGTCTAGTGGTAGACATGTTGTGCAACGGTTTGGTGATTATGATGGGACACAAACACAGCCGTCAATCAATCAGTGATCAAACAGTATTTGATGGCCACAAGTGTTTTGTTTTAATTATTTTTTTTATATAACTTTTGTTTCAATATTAATCACAAGTTTTTATTTGTTTAATTCAATTAACTGTTGAAACAAACAAAAAAAAAACAAAAAATTCAATGAAATTAATGGTTAAGAGTTTTAAGACATACAAAGAATCGGTTGAAATGAATGACTAATCAAAAAGTTTTTAACAGTTTTTCTCTATTTTGTAGTTATGTTTGAAATTCAAACTTTGTATTCAATGTTAGAGTTATATCGCACGTGAAATCAATTACACGCGCGCTATCACTACTGAATAGTATAATAATAATTATCGATTGATTATTATATTTAAAAAAAAATTTTAAGTAATATATTAGTAAAATTATTTATATTTAATAAGTAACGCAATATTTAATGGTATAATATTAATTCATTAACAGTTTACTAATTTACAGTATTAGACATATTATTTATAAAGTAAATACTTTAAACAAATACAATAAAATATTAGAAATAAAAACTAAATTAAAAATAAATTTGTTATATAAAAAATGATAAATCAATGAAATAAACACAAAACAAATGGCTATAAAAATTTAGACAACAAATCAAATAATTAATAAAAAACTATGTAATCAATTACTGTATATAATAAATTGTGAGAAAATTATATGTACGGTAGGTGTGATTGATTAGGTGTGTGTCCATTGACTTTAGACTATAAACACACCTACTGTTTGACTACCGACGTAACAACAACAACGATGACAATGACGGTGATGGCCATCCATAGGGATAATCGGACACTCGAAGTCGTGGAATTGACTACAACCACTAGACCACCACCATTGGCATCGGGTGGCGGCGCTTCGTCACTATAACAGTCAACATACGACTTGCAGCCTAAATCGTTGGTTATATCTTTGGGCGACAATCCCTTACAATTGGCTTCATTGGTGATAAAGCCTTTGTCGGTACAAACTTTTATATCTTTGTCAAGACTTTCCTTTGTACGGGCCGTACAACTCTTTCCTTCTTTGTGCTAATAAAACAAACAAAACAGTAAAATGTAATTTTATTCAACAACAATGACAACACCAAAAAACCGGTGATTGAACACTACACCGGTATAGGGAAGTGGGGTTTAATCATAGTATACTCAATGAATCAATGAATGACTGACCAGTTTGTTTTGCTGGCAAAATATCTCCAAACTATGGCAACAATACTTATTTTGGTTAAATTTTTCAGCCGATGGAAATCCATCTTCGACATCCCATTTCTTTGCTGAACAGCCGACCAAAGATTGAAGATCCGAACAAAACAACGAAAATCGACGAAACAATCGATGCGACCGATGCTGTTGTTGTGGTGGTGGTGGTGGTGGTTGACTGCCATTAGTTGTTGCCACCGCCTCGGCCGAGACAGTTGTCGATACCATACAAACTGTTAGCGATAACAATACCACTGCCGACACCACCGATAATAACATTGACTGTCGTCTAGTGGTAGACATGTTGTGCAACGATGTGGTGATTATGATGGGACACACAAACAGTCGTCAATCAATCAGCAAAATCAACAATCAGTAATCAAAGAGTATTTGATGGACACAAGTGTTTTGTCGTGAATATTAATCACAAGTTTTTTGTTTGTTTAAATCAATTAACTGTTGAAACAAACAAAAAACAAAATTCAWTGAAATTAATGGTTAAGAGTTTTAAGACATACAAAGAATCGGTTGAAATGAATGACTAATCAAAAAGTTTTTAACAGTTTTTCTCTATTTTGTAGTTATGTTTGAAATTCAAACTTTGTATTCAATGTTACAGTTATATCGCACGTGAAATCAATTACACGCGCGCTATCACTACTGTATAGTCTAATAATAATAATTATCAATTGATTGTTATTATTAAAAAAAAAAATTAACACTAATATTAGTTAATATTATTTATATTTAGTTATAATTAGTTAAAATACAGTATAATTAATAAAAATTTTTACATTGTTTGCATTTGCATATTGCAAACACATTTACTTTATATCAAAAATTCAAATTTAAAATAATAAGTCAAACAATTTAATTTCAACAGAAAAATATATCCATAAAATTTATTTAATAGTTTCGTTAATCAAACCAATCAATCAATCATTAAATCAATTAATTAGTTATTTTTAGTATATTTTATTTTAATTAATCATCAATTAAATTGCAACCAAAAATAGTATTCAATCAAAAGATATGGTGCTTAAGAGCCGATCGGGAAACTGGTCATACAGTCGACGATCAAAGCCTTACTGGGGTTTCGAAACCGGTGTCGACGGCAAACAGCAGACCCGATGCGTTGAGATACAAGAGCTACACAACTATAGGCGCATTACACACAACGGCTTCAACTTTTATGTGACAATTATCGATACAAAACATCCAAAGTTTATGCGGACCGCACACGACGGTACCGAACGATGGCGTATGAGATTCAATGTGTTCGGCACCGGTGTGTTTGCCGAATGGCTGCCCAATCTGGTCGTACACTACGGCGAAATACATGCCTACTATGACCTGATGGCCGATCGGCTGAAACCGTGGTGTCAGGAGTTTACCTTCTACTTTGACGACCGGCCAGTGGACAGAGAGATCATACCCTATCGCTATGAGCTCATGGAACTGGCATTTCGTGATTCGCTGATGGGTTTGTCCAGACGTATGAAATTCATGCTATATTTGCCAATATATCGGCAGTCGTTTGTAAATCCCAATCGCGATTTGGATGAATTTCTCGAACGACAGGACATACTGATCAATCAGCTACAGGAGCTGCAAAAGTTACGATACATACCCACACCGACCACACTATTGACGGCGGCGACGGCCATTGGCCCGGAGTCTAACGATAGTCAGTTTAGTCGGGAAAAACTGTCCAAAATTGATGACAAAGTCGGTTCCGAAGTAGTAGTAGAAGAAGCAGAAGAAGAAGATCAGCGGTCAGTGTTGGACAACAATAACAACATCGCCGGCGATGTTAACCAACCGCTTAGTACTACCAGTGCGTCAAACTTTTAACATCCCTTATCCTCTATGTGTGTCTCAATCAATCCTATTGTCGTTATTATTATTAGTGTCACAAAAAACTTTTTTTTTTGGATCGATTAGAAAGTAATTAATTGATAAAATTTATTTTGTTATTCAATTTTTTTTAGGTTTCAATAAATTTTTGTTTTTTTTTTTGTGTATCAAAACTATTGATTTAGTGTGTAATGTAATTAAATTTTTATAATTTATTTAAAATAATATTTATTTATTTTTAATTAATCAATTTATCAATGAATATCAAATTAAAAAAAAAAACATTATTTAAATAATTTAAATTTTTTTTGTTATATTACTGTACGTTATGTATGTATAACACAATAATTATAATAATATAATTGCAAACTAAAACCAAAAAATCCCAAAAATATTTATTCAATTCAATACTGTATTTATTAAACAACACACGTAAACATTTTATACGCAATTGTATGCCCCCCTAATAGGGGGCTATATAGTATATAATGTACTATATGACACACACACACATATAATACTAAATAGATCTCTCTCTCCCCCAACACATAGCTTGACTGTCACGTTATGTATGAATGGTCTTCAATACAAATTGAAAATGTTATGCAATGTGTATTTATATACTGTATTACACTAACAAATGTATTATTAATATACTGTAATGTAATGTTTGAAAACAAATTGCAATTCAATTGTATATTAAATTTATAATAATTTGTTTTATAATAAAAAAAAATATTTTTTTCCCCAAATATTACTAATAATACGTGTTTTTATGTGTTGTTGTTGTATATGATATCCAACGGACGCGCGTTTTTCTTTTCCGACACGTGTTAGAGACGGTAGTGGCCACTGAAAAACAACTTGAAAGCAATCAAATCACACTTTCACCCGAAGATCACCCCCAAAGATATGGCCAAAGGCAGGAGTAGTGGCGGCGGCGGCGGTAGTCAACGGCCGTCGCTAATGAAGTATAGCCGCCAATCGACATCATCATCGACGGCGACGACGACAACAACGGCCACCAATAACAACAGAGACCAACAACAGTTGCGCCAGAAGTTTATCACAACCGATACTTCATTGTCGCACGTGTTGACCATGATATCGATGGGTACGTCCCGTAGGCCACTGTTTGTTGTATCAATAATCTCTTTATTTATGCCATCTCTCTCTCACTCAGGTATCTGTCGTCGTATTACAAGTCAAGATCTGATCCATCGACGACTGATGGCCTACGTATCGCTGGTGGTCGTTGGCGGTCTGCTCAATGATTTTGCACCCGTTATTCCCCGTGCCTTCATGTTTAAGACCCAGAAGACGAATCCGCTGAACGTGTGGTTCGTCAAAATCGGTTGGTTTTGGACACTGACTTTGATTACACCGTTGATTGCCATCACTGCGACAATACTCGAGAGGACAGTCGACGGCGACGGCAATGATAGTGCCAATGAGTCGTTGTCGGCACTTAACGGCGACGCCAGACACAAGAATGCCGGCAAAGATATCGGCTATCGATTGAAACGATTGTTGACATACTTGCGAACCAGACAATTGTTTCGGCTATTGGCCAACACTGCTATCTGGTATGTGTCTGTAAATCTTTTTTTCCATTTGGAGGACATCACCGGTTTCTGTTCAAACAATATCGATGCCAAGGATTCAAGTAATTAACAGTTTGCCGTCAAAAATAACCAAAAGTTTTATTTAATGGTTAACAGTAGTTATAATGATAAGTAAATTTGTTTAATTTTTTTGGGTGTAATTTCTATAAATTATAGCGTAAAATACAAATTTACTATTATATTGCTGTAACCTTATATAAAACATTTGATATTGAATTTCAATTTACACAAATTATATTACCGTAATATTTATTTGTTTCAATTGTTTATTTGTTAGTTATTACAACCAAAAATATTTGTATCAAATCGGGCCACAAATGGCTATCGGGATTCGACATCAGTGGCCACACGTTTTTGTTGATATTCTCCAATCTCATACTCATCGAAGAGTGYGCCGTTATGTTGGGTTGGGAACCATTTGGCAATCAGTTGTTTATGGARAACACCAATATCTACGACCGGCCCGATATTGTACCCGATMGGGAACAGTATCGACTGTACACTAAATATGCCGTACCATTGCGTATACTGTTTCTATTAATTACCAGTTTGTCGCTTATCTGGGATTTTATGTTACTTCAGACATCACTGTTTTATCATACAATGATCCAGAAACTGATTGCCTGTGYCTGGGCTATCATAGCCTGGTTTATAACCTATAAGTATCTCTATAAACGGTTAGACATTGATGTAAAACCACCGAAACTCAACAAAAATTTATAGTTAGAAAAATGATTTTTTTTAAAAAATAATTATTAACAATATTTAGGAATTTTTTTTTATTAACAAAAATATATACTGATATATACAGTATATATATATATATATATATATATAAAGACTCTTATATATAGTTTGAAATGCATTTTCTAATAATACTTTTAAATTTGTTGTTTAGGTTTTTATTTATTTATTATTATTGTTTTGTTTTAATTTGATTTAGTTATTTTGTTTTTTTGTATAATACGATATTATAATACTTTACTTAACTATTATTATTGGAGAATTTTTAAAAATATATTAATATATAAACTATTATATATATATAATTGTTATGAAATCAATAAATCTATTTGTTTTTTTTGTATATACTGTATTTTATAATGATATGTAAAATAGTAGTATTAGAGTACTGGTATATGTATAACCCGTCCAAAACATATATATATATATATAATGCCATAAAAATTGACCGAAAAATGATATTGAATGACATGTTAAACAAAATTCATATTAACATACATTATCATACATTAAATATATTGAAAAAAATATTATATTTATACATATATAACATATAATATATATATATTTTCATATCACTGGAGTGTTTTCATACAAATTTTTTTCATGTTTTGTAGTGAACATTGAGAGTGAGTTTTGTAAATTCAATGATTAATGGATTTTACAAAAAACCATTATTTTTGTTTTGACATTACTTTATATATTGAATATATATATATATATAATAATAATAATAATAATAATATAAAAATTTATATACAAATTGGATATACTATATATAGTATTATGAGTTATATATGTTGTCTATAATCAATAAAATCATTAATTTTCAAACAAAAATTATTATTAGATTTTGAAAAAATAAATCATTTGTAATCAAACAGAAAAAAATAATTTAATTAAATTTATTAATGATATTTATTAAACTATAGTATCATTATTAGTTTTTTTTTGTATACTAATAACATTTAATAATAAATATTAGATACTTAATTTTAATTAAATTTATATAATAGTAGTAGATTAAAAAAAACTAAATAATAATAATTAATCACTAATATTTAATATGTTGAAGATTAATATTATATTTTTTATTATTATTATCAGTACTTATATATCAATATTTTTTTAAAAATATAATTATTATTAGACAATATTAATAATTTTGATATATTACTACTACTACCCTATTATGATATAGTAGACCTACATATCTAGTAGGCCATAGTTAGCCAACCAATAATAAGAGTGACTCCACCGACGGGCGTCAAACGTGTAATTTGTTTATTACCAGTAAATACGTTTATATAGCACGTACCCGAAAACAGTGTCATACCTACTGTAATCAGTAAACCACTTAGCCAGGGATGACCGACCAACGGTATGGCCAACAGTACTAGCGAATGTATCAGATGATATTTGTTGGCCCTTTCGTAGACCACTTTTGAATGATCCGATAGCTGGTTGTTATGTTGAACTTTGTGAGCACCGTAGGCTCCCATAGCTACGGCCAGTGATCCGTAAATGCCGGCCAACTGTACCCAAATCGAACCGATCGACGGATACTTTATATATATGATATAGTTATATAAATTAGTTTTAAAATAGCTATTAAATGATATTGAATTAATTATTTATAATATATATATATTATAGGTATGTGCACACTATTTTGGCTGCACAACTGTCCATACTTACCAAAATTTGATTATCCATTAGACTAACTGATTAAATAAACAAAAACAATATTTTCTTTTACTAATAGTATAATATTTTTAAAATAAAACTTATGAATTCATCAAATATATATATATATATATAGTATAAATTCATATATAAAGTTTCATTGAAAATATAAAATAGTCTACTAATGATATTATTATTATTATGGTTTGTTTTTGAATAATATTCAATAGATATAAATTGTCATTATTACTTATAACCATAAATATAAATTGTATAAACAGTACTGTAAGTAATATTTTTTAGTAGACAACATATATTAAAGATTTCTGATTAGTGATAAAAATTTAACTGAAATTTTTATAAATCTAATCATTAGTAAAATTATATATTTAAAATAAAATTACTTTAGAAATTTTGATTTATTTTTTTCCAAACATAATATAATACAATGAAAAATCAATAGTTATTGTCAAAATTATCAACTATTTGGTTAAATCGATAATTTTCTAATATAATAATAATAGTTTATCAAATTATTTGTACTATGGATTTAAAATATATATATATATAAAATCAATATTAGATAATTTTAATAATTACTTTTTCATGATTTAAATACGAAATTTTCCATAAAAAACAAAAACAAAAAAAATATTTTATAATTTAAACTAAACTATTCCTTAATTTTTTTTGAAAAATATTAACATCTCTCTCTCTCTCTCTCTCTATATATATATATATATATATATATATATATATATATATACACTGTATATACAGTATATTATACAGTACATTACATATATATGGTATTTACAGATATATGATTGCCAACAAATAATGATTATCAAGGATTCTTGATTAATATTAATAATAGATTTTTAAAAATATATATTTACTGTTTTTTTTTGTTTAATATTTTAAATTTTATTTCAAAAACGATAAATTATAACTTAATATTAATATATATATATTTTTTAATCGGATATTTTTTTATTTAACATAATATTTGATTATAAATTTAATAATTTTTTTATAGCTGTAACATACGTTGAATAATTAAAGTTACCTAATATTATAAAACTAAATATTGTATTATTTATGCAATATTTGTTATTTAAAATTGTAATACAATATTAAATGAGATTTATTTATTTTTTAATTAAAATTAAATTGTTTTTATTTTATTAGTTGTCAATCTCATTTCTTTATTAAGTAAATTAAGAAATAAATAATATTTTGTTTTTATCGTAAAATAATAATAATTTTTTATTCAAAAAATTTAATTTACAAAAAAAAAACATTCAATGACGATTGCAGTAAACAGTATAAAAAATTTATTTTATATTATAAAATACTATAAATGACTATTGTATATCACATTAATTGTATTGATTATATTAAATTTATATTAATATTATTTAGTAAAAAAAACAATAACGATATTTGTTAAGTCATATGACATTTTATAATTATTATATTTATCAAAAAATGTACATTGTCATTTTTTTGGTTATTTGTAAAAAACACTAACTTAACTAAACATAATAGAGATTAATACAATAGTATCAAATATTTTTTTTTTTAAATTTATTATTACAAAACAGATTATAATAAAAATTGTTTTAATAAAGTATACACATATTTTTAAATCTTTTTATTTGATATATATATATATATATATAGATTTATTTTTAGATTTTTAGTTTACTAAAGTTGTTGTTGTTAACTAACTGTAAGCCATTGATAGCCAACCGATCATCAAAGTTATGCCACCAATCGGTGCAAATCGGGTCACATCCTTATTGCCGGTAAACACATGCAGATAACAGGCACCGCTAAACAAGGACATGCCTATCGTAATGAGTGTACCGCTGAGACAGGGATGTGCAACCAATGGTATGGCCAACAATACCAGCGAATGTATCAAATGATAACGATTGCCGGTATCGTAGATAGTTTTGACATGCGGTGACAAGTCCTTATCACCGTGAACTACATGTGCTCCGTAGGCGCCCAGTCCTACGGCCAGTGCACCGAAAACGCCGGCTAATCGCACCCAAATAGAGCCGACCAGTGGATACTAGAGTGTGTGTGTGTGTGTGAGAGAGAGAGAGAGAGAGAGAGAGTTTAGATGACACGTTATATATGTTTTTTTATTTATTTAGGCTAACTGTGGGCCCAAACCAACAATTTTTTCTTTAGTATAATATATAGTATAGTATATATACCGATATAAATTTATATATATATATATATATATATACACTTACCAAAATTGCAGTATCCATTGGGTGTATAGTAGTGAATATGTTTAATGAAAAATAATTTTTATTTGTCAATTATATACTGTATATATATATAACAAAAAAATAAATATCACTCTTTTTTTTAGATAATTATTGACTGAATTTTTTATATTTACTAATATACTAGTATACTGTATATACAGTATATTGTTAGTTATGAGTTAAACTAAACTAAATAAAAAAAATGTACTAAACTATGCAGACATAAAAATTATTTAATGTATTTAATATTATTAGTAAATGTACTGTAAAATGTATGTGTATGTGTTTTTTTGAAGGCTACAAAAAATGTTTATATCATATTATTATTATTATTATTTCATATCATATCTAATATTTATTACAGATATTGTTGTTGGAAAAAAACTTACCAATCAATGAATTAAATTTGTTATGATATCATTGCAATTG